CACACACACACACACACACACACACACACACACACACACACACACACGGGTAAGTGTTAACAGCAAAGAAAACTTTACATTTGCGCTGTACTAAACAACAGGGGGCAGTCTATCTCCATAAGATATGATATAGAAAATGGCTTTGAACTGAAAATGCTTTATCGCTTCAATGCTGTATTAATTCAGGAATATTTGGAAACTCAATTAGATTTGTAAGTGTTGTAAAGTGTTGTAAAATATACCTAATAGAAATGATGTATAGAATGTTTCACAGGTTAACTGCGTCACTGTTAATGGACATACAGTATACGTCTCATATTTACTACAATGATCATTATTGTAATCGATGCTTGTTTTGAGAAGCAACTTTTCTAAATGTTTGAGATAATTAATATGCAGATAATTAATCATAACTTAATGAATCCTCTGGGACTCAATGTGCAAAAACACTCGCTGCCAACATTAATTGTTACCTTTCCATTGGGCACATACTCTGACAATAGTTGTGCACAGGCAATTCAGATTTAAAAAAACAGATCAGTCATTGGTTTAGAGTTATAACGACATCCTTCATGCAGGCAAAGTTGGACAAAAACAGAGAACACAAGGCACGTATCCCAGCTCCTTCACATTGATGTACGTGATTTATGAGAAAGCAAATATCAAATGTTTCATGTTGGGCATAATAAACTGGTGTGTTGGCATTCACTGGTCTTCTCCACACCATGTCCTCTTTCACAGGCAGGAGCTTTAGTTTACAGAAGCAACAGAGGCAGCAGCAGCAGCAGACAGAGCCCGGTGACTCATCAGTCCTGCCCTGCATGACTAAATAATCCCTGTCCCTAGTTTTTCTGCCTTGATACCCTGGCATACTGTGGGTGATAAGTTTGTATCTCAAATTTAATTAGCTGAAAAACCCCTCCAGCAAGTGGCACCTATTGGTTTCAATGAACATTTTGCATTATTTTGGGAGTCGCAAAAAGGGCACATTTCAGTTTCTTCTGTTGGGAAAATTCGAAGAAATGTTAAATGTCAAGTAATCCATTTTACTTCTTCTCTCAATAATTCTCTCTTCCACTATAGCCTTTTACTTTTTCTCACCATCGCATATTCCTCTTCTGAAAATCTTTTTTTCAGTACCTTCTGTTCATCCTTTATATTTACATTTTCCCATAAATCTTTAAACCTCTGTTTTCCTCTCTCAGAATGATATACACCAACTGCAATAGAAGAAAAGGCTGAAAGGCAACTGTCAAAAGATAGAAGGAGAGTAGACCGTCTTCCTTTGTGAATCTACAAGTACTCACCCAGCCCGACACTGCTGTTCTCCAGCAGGTAGCTCAGGTGGTCAAACATGGCTTTCTGGTTCTGGCGGCTAATACGACAGAAGTAGCACAAGAAACGACAACAGCTGGCCACCATTTTCGGGAAGGCGATCTCCTGTGGACACAAAATAAAAACACAAACGTGAAGATGTGCTAAAGTCCAACAGACCCCTCTTTTTTTATTTTATTTAAACTTTACTTTTATTAACATTTTCAGGCAAAAAAAAGGGGTTGACATGGGCAACATTAAACTTGTGACCTACCATGATGACGTACTTTTGTGGGCAGAGCGTAGGTGGAGGCAGAATAATTCGATGGAACGCGTTAGTTAACGTTCATTAATAATGAAACTGAAATTAGAAAGTCAGCTGGCTTACTAGCCAGCCGTTAAATTAATCAAATTCAACAACTCAATGCTTCATCCACACACTCTTGTCACAAAGCGTGGGAACGCACATTGTTATCGCCAGATAAATGACAACTTCGTTCTGATCTTTTTCTGTGACCAGTGTGTTGCATGGAAGTGGGGCAGAATTGGCAGGCGGGCTATGCTGGTTGGCTTCCTGGTTCCCCCATTCTTTGGTGCTGCAGTGGCTGCAGAGGATAGGCCCAACAGCAGGCCCCTCTCTTCATCTCTCTAATAGTTTAGCCTATAAGCAACATTTCTCTCCATCTCTCTAATAAATTAGCCTGCAGTGCAGCCGCCGTGATGGCTGAGGGGGGGTCAGCAGAAGGCTAAGATAAGCTATTGGCAACATTTTCTCTCCATCTCTGAAATGCTTCGCCTGTCCCGGTTAACCCCCATTTCATAAATAAAGCTTTGTAGTTGCAAAACATATTATTTTCTTTAAACAGAACTCTCTCCAGGACCTTGAGTTGGTAGTCTCAGCCCAACTTTACCATATATCATTCCAATCACCTTCAGATATCTTGAGTCCTGATTCTTTCTCCCATTTCTGCTTGACATAGACAGTAGTGTACTTTTGGAAGTGTCAGACCCTCAGGTTACAAGAAAACTATTTTGTAGATGAAATCTCCAAATAAGCTATAGCAGGGGCTAAGGTCAATTTTAATCTATTGGATATGTCTGGAGTCTCATGTGCTCTGAGAAAAGCTTAAAGTATAATCAATAAACAAAATCTATTTTCTGTTCAGAACACAACTGGAAAATCATTTCACCTCCAAGTCCTCATGCATGTAATGCTGTTACTAGCCCTCTATCATCCTCCTTCTAGTGTGGCTTCACTCCAAGTGTTCAGTGAGCATAAATCTAAGAGTGAAGTTATTTCTGACATAAATCCACACCTTATCTCAGGCAAATTACACTCTCCAAATGTGAACAGCACAGAAAATCACACTCATCATCGGACAAGTTGCCCTTACTGTTTGGCTATCAACGGTGCCAAATGTTTACACTTCTAAAAGCAGATTCATCACAGCGGTTGACAGCCAAAGCAATTTCCCCTCCCTAAGCCTTTGTGGAAAAGCTACCTGTGAGGTAGCACTGTGCACGAAAACAGCATTTTATTAAAGTCTGGGTTTAAAAATAGATAACGCATTCTTAAACTGTTTTTTGTAGTGTGTTCTGTTTTTCACCTTGATTATGTAACAGAATTGTAAGTTATCATCAATATATAATTGTAAGAGCAAATATTGCAAACCTTTTACACTTACAAGCTGTGGTAATGCCACTTTATATGGCCACAGTTAGTGAAGCGCACATATCGAGTGGCAGTAAACTGGTCTGGAATTTATGTCCGAGGCTGTGTGATGAGACTGTCAGTGTCAGATGTGAAGGCCTGAATGTCTCTCTGAGGTCTTCCTGTCTAGGGTTTAATTCATGCTTGGCACTGGATGTGGCATTAAATCACAACCATTTCATACAGCTTCTGTCAGCACTGCCCAAAAAGGACAGGCTTGAGAGGCCTCGCTCTCACCCCTCTCTTGCCCTCCTCTGCCCTCTCCATTACCCTTGTGGCTTTTCTGAGTATTAGGTTGTTGATCTTGGCTAACTTCAATATAACAGTATAACAGTTCAGGAAGATACATTTGAACTAAGCTCCTCTGTTCATAAGGCAGGTTAAAAGTGCCCCGTGAAGCCTTCTTGTCAACAAACAAAAGTTACTTTTGTTTGTCTGTGTTACTTACTTAAGTCTGACATAAGTGTTGAATGTATTTCCTCCCTTTTTACTTCACAATTGGACCTTAAGTTGAGATGGTTTGTCAACTATTCACTTGACAGTAACAACTTGTACCGATAGTCCTATCGAGTCTCAAAATGTAAATATGTGGTCACGCCTTCGTACCTGCGACTTGTCACCTCCCAGAACGTTGACCATGACCTCCATGACGGTCTCGTGCATGCCCAGCACTCTCATCAAGTTGGGATGTTGGTAGAAAACCTTGTTGTTCATGATGTCACTGGGAACACATGAAAATAATGAGTGACTGTGTTTTACATTCTATATTTTGTAGGTAATATACAGCACATTGGAAATAGTGCCCGACAGGGTTGGTAATATATCATCAAAAACATTTTTGATGTTTTTTTTGTAATTTCATTTGTGCGGTGACGTGGCAACTTTCCTGCTATAGTTAGCAACATTTGGAGCTAGTGCTGCTAGCTACTTCTATTAGCAAAGAGTTTGCAACACTGGGTTGGGTGTTTTGGTTGTATACGTTTTTAGATCTAGCGTATGCTTGCTGGTTTCTCAAGACTACCAACCCTGTCTTCAATGCATGTGTGTAATTATAATTATCATCAACAATCATTATTTCACATCACAAATTACATTGAATTAAAAAAAAAAAAAAACTTGAGAAATGTCTGCGTTTATTGCAACACATTTTCTTACCCGAGCCCATCAATCATGAGTTTCTCCTCCTCCTTGCCCATGCGTACCGACAACAGAGACCTAATTTGACCCAGAGATACCAGCAGGTTAATAGCATCCTGCACGGAGGCGGCGCTGATGGTGTAGGATTTCTTCATGGCCCGGAGCAGCTCCCCGATGCCGTCATACTGCCTCCTTAGCAGGCTGAACATCACTCTGACCAGCTCTGGGTCCTGCATGTGAGACTCCTGAGCCCAGCTGGTTATGGTCTGGGAGATCAGCTCCTTCAGGTTAGCTGGAGAAGTGACAATTCAACATCCAGGTGTGAATAACAATATAGAGTTATATAGAGTTTTGCTATTGGGCTTGCAGTCCCATTGTGTGATTGTGCTTACTGTAGATAAGTCAAGGTTCTCTAGCCGGGCTGTTTTTTTTAAAATCTTACGTATGAATCACAGGAACCTCTTTAGAAGTGAAAAGTAATTGTTTGCGTAGGAGGAATAATTAAATTCGTAATGCATCTGGTACTCTCAGCATTGAGCTTACTACATCATACAGTTTTTTTGCTGCTCATAATCAAACTTATATGATTTCATCAGAAGCCTCAGGGCAGCTTGTTGGCTGTTAGCAGCACTGTGATTATTACATTGACTTTTTTGGCCATTTAGCCAACAGTTTAATCTGAAATGAAGTGCGTAATGTGAGTGAAAGGTGGACGAAGCTAAAGGGTATGTAGACATGAAGAGCATCTAAGCAGGAGCTTAAGAAGTACAACAGTGCAAAGGTGCCAGAAAGAAAGTTAAACATTTGTGTGTGATCCACGGAAATGTTGTATCCAATTTAGCATTTGACATGGTGTGTCAGAAAGACATATAACTGTGATGGTGGTACACATGGTGTCCACAGGTCGAAATGGGATTTTTTGGATGTTGCATATAAAATATGAAGCGGTCATCTCTAGAACTATCTAAACATATGATTTATTTGTATTGCTCCCTTGTTCCCCCTCTTTCTAACAATGCAAAACTCAACGCAACACGAACAACATTCACTCATCATTGAGCAAACCTTGACTCTAAAACGTTGGGATTAGAATATAATGATCGATCTTTTTTTATGCAAAATGCAGCCACTAAAATAGCTCCTACTCCTCTCAACCCTTTTCTTCCGGAAGTAAGGTGACTTTAAAATGTTAGGGTGTAATTGACTTTTGCCTATCCTTCAAAATGTCTAAAATTGTTTCCAAGGACTGTTTAGAAACAGCTGTGGGCTCTGTTCCCCAGGCACCTCAAAAGGTTTGTCATTTAAGAAAGAATTAGATAACATGTCTCTACCTAATGCATTAGAGCACAAAGTACAAGATAGATATATAGAAACAGATGAAGATCAAACTGAAGGGGAGCTTTATTTTATATTTTTTAAGGTGTTTGTCTGGGTAATCCTTTAAAACTTTGTTAAAAATGGTCCTATCAAACTTAAATCTCACAAGACAAGCAACAATACAACTGGGCACAACTACAAAGACACAGTGGTGATAAATGATGAGGCTGTAGCTAAATGCCACACCTCTCCAAATCGCACATTGTTATTCCAAAGCTATCGCTACAACTTTGAGTGTTTAAGTCAAACAGCCAAACAAACATCTGTGGCAAACAAAGGGTCAGATTGGAGCAGAATCCTAATGAGAGACGAGACAGATACAAAAGGAGAGAGAGAGAGAGAGAGGAAGCCAGCTGCCCTGAAGGTGAATGTCTCGCAGATTCACATCTGCTCTGCATCGTCTCGAACAGTAGCTCACACGGGAGTCATCACGAACAAACTAAAACTACCCTGTCGGAAAGCTATATCGCAAATGACCACACACAGTCATTATGGTGTTGTTTATAAAAACATTTTAGAGCTGATCCAAGACGTGTTTTCAGCACATAATACTACATATACAGAGACAAGACATGTTTTTATGATAATAATATAACTGACATTGACGAGGAGCAGCTTGTTTCCTCGCACATCATTTAACACGCCTACTTTATTATGATCTTCATGTGATGTTGAAGAGGTGATGCAGAATCATCTTGAATCACATCATCTGTCCACTTGTGAAACGTTTGAATTGTGTGTGCTAGCTGCGGGGAGGCTGGAGTAAGGCATTTAAATTTATAGCAAAGAATCTTTTAGTAGCTGTCCATTATTCTTTTCCTATTTGAAACAGAACATAGCCATGCTTTCAGCAAAGAGCTGCAGAAAAGAATAATGGAACCACAGACCCCAGCTTGAAGCAAAGAACTTGTTAAACTAGTAGCCGGGCAGTGTCTTATGTTCTGTATATTATTTATTTAATTCAAGGTTCTTTCAATACCAATTTGGTGTTTAATGACACATCGAAAAACACTTTGTCATGGCTTATTGCCTTTCCAGTAGACCTTTAGATGTTAAATAGATATTGATAATATGGCACTACAACACTAAAAACCAAGTAAATTGTGGAACACGGAAATTAAATTTAAATTGCTAAAAGCTAGTCTCCCACTTGTATCTGCATCATTGTATACAATTAAGATCCAAGTATCATATGAAGTCAGTTGAGAAGAGTTTACAAAATGTAATGATTTTTTAAAACTTATTAAACGTTAAAGCTGTTGCAAGACGTTAGACGCGCTCCTGTAGTTTGACAGTTACTTGTATATTGCCTCCTGTAAAGTCTATAGAAATTACTTTATACTTCGGAGGTTAATCTCTGCATCCGATCCCTTATGTCTTCGATCACATTTGCATAATTTACAATTGCACAAAAATACTGTGCTACGAGATGTTCAGAGTGACTTACTGGGAGCAGCCTGCTCCGTCTCTGTGGGTTCCTTCTCTGTCTTCTGAGGCGGACCTTTGATTTTGTAGACTAAAGCGAGGAGACGGCCTTTTATCGAAGTGTCCTGCTCTTCCTCATCCTCCTCCACGGGAATTCCTGCAAGAGGAAACACATTTCTGTCAGACACTCAGAAATTCAACATTTTGTATCAAGTGTTTAAATGTGCAAAAAAAACTTGTGATGCTAAGTGTAGAATGAGAGGACATAGAATGTTGGTGCTTCATTTTTTCTGATAACAGATAAGCCGAAAATCAATGTGACTTGTCGCCTCCATTTCTCACCAGGCATTTGACGAGTGCTTATAATACCCCAAAAAATACTGGTCGTTTTTTTTGTTCGTCAAAGATCAAGAAGAATCCTTTTGTGTGAGAAGATATTTGCGTACAATGTATCAATATCAATGAACCAAAATCAGCACCATATGTAAAAGAATTGAGAGAGCTGAGAGAGAGTTGGACTCTACCACAGTGCAGTCGCAATTCTTCATGGAAGGAGTTGAGTTCTTCCTGGATCTGCTCAGGACATGGGCAGTCCTCCCCTGCAGTGAAATTCAACAGGATGTTGATCTGCAGGAAACAGACGAACATAACGGAAAGGGTTAGATGTAGAGAGCGAGGAAGGGAATATAAAAATGTGTTTTAGAGCGCCGGAGGGATGAGGAGAAGGGTGAGAATTGCACAGTGTAGTGTGTGAAAGTATGAATAAAAGGAGGATGGCATACAGAGCAGATAGCACCATTATTATTCTGAGCAATAACCCAACGGCAGAAACTAGTCTCCTGCAGTGAGTGCTTACTGAGCGAGCGAGCGAGAGAGAGAGAGAGAGAAGAAAATGTGCAGTAAAAATGGTTATCTTTAAAAAGCAATAGCAGCTTTAATGGTAAATTATTCTAAATAGATACTAATCTGCTGTGTTTGCTGTATGTCACACGCTAACAGACTAAATATACATGAGCTGCTTCGTTGAGCAAAGCAGATGCAGAGTCCAGCTTCGGCTATTCTGATGTCTATTTCTGGCATGGCTTTTTAATAAACCATGGGAGGAACATGCAGCAAACGTGGAGAATGTTGCCTACAGTATGCACCTGCTGCTGACCGCTACAGGACATATGTTTCAGGGGATGAGCGTAGCTGTAGGCATGTGCTTATTTGCAAGGTTTTGCAGCTCATAGGAAATGCAATTAAACATTTTGACAACTTTGCAGTCCTGCCGATGTAAACTTTTGGCTCGCTCTTTAAGTCACAGCGGTGTTGCATCCAACAACGCTGCACTGAAGCAAGAGATCTGAGCATGAACAGAAACAAATGGGACTTTCTGGCTAATGGGCGGGCAGAATAATGTTGTACCCCTTCTCTTCCTCTCTACTCTGGCTTGGAGTATGGGGCCGATTCATTAGCTGCAAAGATCTGAGCCCCTGGCACTTCAGTGCACTGATGCAGTTATTACACACTGGGCTTAAAAAGTACTGAAAAGTACTGAAAGCATGTGCTGTAAGGGAGAACAGAGATCCATTAATATACTTAAGTTTGGTTATAGCAGCAAGATCAAATACTTCATCACTGGCTCACGACACATTTGATGCTTTTTAGATCTTTATACATCAGAAAGCAGGAAATGAAAAATAGTTTTCTAAGGAGAACAAAGAGAAATGTGTCTCCATCATCAAACCGTTAGATGATAACATGAGTGCAAGTTGGTCAAGCCATTACCTGTATGTCTAGTATTTATGGTGCATACACACAAGGGTAGAGCTTGACCAATATGTCGGCCCATATAATGTTGTTCAGAACAATAGTCATTGTGATTCAATCCCAATTATGGACCTTGTGAAGGATAATAAACAATAAGGGTTACATACATGGCACAATGAGTCTGACCTCTGGAAAGTGAAAAGGGCAGATTGCTTCAACATGTGTTGTGAGAGTAAATAAACCGTCAGGGGGATTATTTTGATCTGCTGGTTTGATTTCGGTGTCCTAGCAGCACCATCCCCTGGTCAAATATGTATACGTGTAAATTTAGCTTCTTGCACTTCGTGTTTTTTTTTACACCTGCATTCGACCTTGCAAACAATTTCAAATGCCAACATATACATTTGTGGATTGATTTTGATTCTACAGTTTTCTCACACAATGCATCCTGACCGGTAAATCCCCTTTGGGACTAAAAACAATTTTCTACTCTTAAATGTCAGCTTTTTACTTCTCAATGCACGGTCAACTCACTCAAAGTTCACTTTCGCCTCAAACTTGGCCCAATTTCCCCGACGGCAGTACCAGCTAAAACTAAAAGTCACTCAGTGAATTACAAAACCCTGTGCTCCTGTATCTGCTTCAAACTCTGAAATTTAAATGATCTAAAGGGCATAGCTATAGGACGTACATCATGCGGGTGTTTTGCGTTAATTCGCGATATGCACGGCTGCATGTAAATTAAAATGGAATATTAATTTTCCTAAACCATGTTAGAAACTTAGTAGGAATATTGCCTTTTTTGGAATAAGGTCAAAAACCGAGATATTTTGTGCATGTAAAGGTAGTCATTTATTATTTTTCTCCCTCAAGCTCAAGTAATCATTCATGGGTTATGTTCCGATATAATACCTCAAACCACATTGACCATAAATTACATCTCAAACTGGATGTAAACAGTTTCTCGTGGCGTCTGGTCCATTGCAGTATAGTACCTGCTCATGTGGGGGTGAACGGAACTCTTTAGTCTTCTTGGCAGTGATGGCGGCGGACATGTTGAACGCCAGCATCAGCTCATTGTAGCGGAACTTCTGGTTGAACTGCAGCTTGGACACGAAGCTGTCGGAGAAGGAGACAATGGCCTCGATGCGTTGCTTCAGCTCACAGTCACAGAAGTAGTGCAGCAGCTCACACATCTGAGAAGAAGATATCAATTCAGCAAGGATGGCAATCTAGAGTGCTTTTAGAGGTAACAGTTTCTCTTTCTCTCTGTGTCTGTATTGTTTGATGTGGCTTTTAAATAAGATCATTTTCATATAAACTGATGTAACGTTGTCTGTACGTTAAACAGAGAGAAACCTCACATATTAGTAGATTATCTGCCTTCATCTTCATAATGCAGAGATTGTAGCTGTCTACAGCATTTTGGACTTTGTGTCATTGACAGGAACATTAGTATTCATCCACTGCCTTGTTTTGCACTCATGCAGTCACTCCTCAGTGAGATAAATCATAAAAGCTTTGAATTGCTGACAAATGAGGAATTAGTGGGGAAGAAGGGGAAATAAGATGAGGAAGTTTTTAATCTAATTAAAACCTTGGAATATTAATAGATGGAATTAATTTCATGCAACTATTTCCAATCTCACATCTAATCGCTGAAATGTGTGTGCATGTTTTTTGTGATCATTTTCATCACCTGGCGTTTGACAGACTCGGGCAGGGACTTCTCCAACAGACCTCTAACTTGCGGTTTACTTTCATTTGTTTCCTCCTCTCCAGCCTCCACAGCCTTCTCCTCATTCTTGCTGACATCCTCCTTCTCCCCCGTCACGGCCACCTCATCGCCCTTAGCCTCTTCTCCCTCCTTGGTCTCCCCGAACACGTTGGGGTCAATCAGGAGGAGAATCAGTCGCACCTCCTCACTGGTTAAGACTCCCATGATTAAAAGCGTTCCAATCAGCTTCAGGATGGGGACAAACTGGTACTCCACGCTGCCGCCTACCGGGTCACGGATGTGTGTGCCTCCGCCCTGCACAGCCTCAGAGAGCATGCTGATGGCTTTCTCTTTCAGGGTGCCCAGAGGGATCTGGGGGCTGTAAAGGTACTGGGCGTGCTTTGTGTTGATGATGCCGACGGCGGAGAAGTTGACCCGAGGTTTGAGGGAGGTGCTCAAGTCCACGCCAGGCAGCGAGTGCCGCTTGGACTCATCAGGGAACAGCTTGATGGAGCGAGTCTCGTCCGTCACAGGGATGATGAACTCGTTGTTCATCATCAGGCGAGCCTCCTTTGCCGTCTCAAGATGAATGCTGGCAATGAGTAGAAGAATCAGTTCAATCATCGTCGGGAGGTTTTGGCCATTACCCTTATCAGGAAGTAACCATTCAGTATTCTAGGCGTATAAATAAATTTCCCTATGTGGTATAAATGTGCAATTTGTAAGATGTTATAGCTCCACAGCACAAAATTACCTCAATATATCTGTGGGAGGTGACAGGGTTGTCGATCAATACCAGTGAGTCAGCAATTGCCTGGTGCTGAGTTCTCAGATGCATTGTGGTTTATAATCACAGTTCAAAGCAACAGTCCTCCTACATGGATGTTCACACCCTCCACTTGAAACTGCATTTTCAGTGTTAATGGAGGTAAGCACTATGTCGTGAAAGTAGCAGGTGAAATGTACCATGTATGATGTAATTCAATTATGTCTGTCTGTGGTTTATTGACATTGTGTGAAAAAACTCAATGTCAATAAATACTCAGTTGTACTGCATTACACAAAGATTTATTCTGACATATTAACGTTGTGGTCTTGTGTGTGGCTCCGTCACTTGATGATGTTGTAATAAGTTGCAATTATTTCATTGTTCATCATTAAATTCCATGATGAGTAAGAATATTGACAACTTCTCTGCAGGAAAATAAAGGATGTTGAATTTTAACACTTGGAGCATTGTTGACCTTTTTTTCCTGCTAACAGCATTATATTTCCCACTACAACTTCTACTTTTCCATTTTTCAAATGCAGACAAAAAAGCCAATTTTCAAAAAGTAAGGAATCATATCCGACTACGTTCAATCTAAAACAAATGCAAATACCACACCTGATTAGTACATTGTAGAAGCCGTCTCTCAGCATGCCGGAGAGGTACTGGTTGTCGATGGTGTTGAGGAGCTGTGATTGGTCTAAGTGACTGCAGAGGGCGTGAGCAACGCGGGTGTTTCCCAGGGCACAGAGGGCACAGTACAGCTTCAGTGTGTGGTAGTGGAACTTTCTCAGGTCTTCATGTTCAGATAACTCCAGGATGTCCAAACACCTAGAGAAGAGCAGGAAACGAATGGGATGATGGAGAACCATTTACACTGCAGCAGTATATACTAGGTGGCAAACTAGACGTTCATTGTTTTTACCGATTTACGACATGACAATATATGCTTGAGATGATATACCACCTGCACACTATGGTGACTGTCCCTTCTATTGTTTCTTGGTGCTTTCGGTCACTGAGGCCAGTATCAGATATAGGTTTGGTTTTTTGACGGGTATTTAATTCACTTAATTAGACAAAAACAAACATTACCATCTCGCTATTTATCCAAAAATAGTTGACAAAACAATCTTTACTGAAAGCCAGTCATCATTTTGATAAAAATTAAGAAACAAACTCCAAAATGATGAGGGACTGAACCAGTCACATAGCAGGTGCAGCTGTTTGCAGATCAAGTTGTAGGTCTACTTCACATCCTTGTTGCACACCTGTTCTCTTCAGGTATATGTACGGCCAACATCTCCAGCTGTTCCAGGCACTGGACCACCCAGCCATGCCTCTCGCTGACCCGAGCAGTTTCCACGTGGAGGAAGGTGTTGGGCATCCGGCTCCACAGCACGGCCACGATGGTCTGCACATCCAGACGGGGCGGGCACTGCGGCACCGGGTTCCTGTGCTCACTCTTGAATATGGCAGACGAGAGCGGCATCGCATCCTGGGAGAAGAGGGAGAAGAACAGTACTATAAACAGGAAAGACAATAGGAAAAACAATGTTTAACTAGTTGATGGACTGTGTGCTTTTGGTCTTAATATTACAATTTCTTGAATAAATATGTTGATTCTAAAAACACTTCTAAGGCATTAAAAAAATGAAAGAAGATGCTAAATCGTTATACCTACATGGCCACCTATTAATTACAATTACGAGGCGTGTACAACAATACTAGTAAATTAGGAAGACTAAAATGGTTTAAATCATTCTACTCGTTCTGGCAATAACCACATCCAGTACTACACACCACATCGTGTCCAAGCATTGCAAATTGTTGGATTTGAAAAGAGACTAACCTTGATCTTGACAAATTCAAACTGGAAGAGGTTTGCACTGGTAGGGCGTACAAACACAGCTGGGAAGAGCTTAGTATTTGGCTCCACCTGAAAATAAACAAAGTTCAGTCATCAATATCATAGATTTAATCATTTAGATTTACAGGAGTTAATAATGCAACAAAAGGAAACAAGTCAGATCTGTCCTGAACAAAGCCCTGAGAGGAATCTAAGTTCTTATTCAAATTCTTCTTTCAGATAATTGCAGATCTGACGCTCCGCATTCTGCTCTTTCTAGTGTCAGAAGGCTTTAAACCTCTCAGCGCATGGATTAACTGGCATTTTAAATCCAAGTTCAATACGTATAAGTTGGACTATTGATGACAGTCATCTGAGACAAATGATGAATACAAAGAGAGAGGAGAAACAACTGAAGCCATAAAAAGACAATAAGCTTTTCATCAATGACAGACAAAGTAACATTTCATGGTCTGGTCAGGTATTCAATACGAGTCGTTAAAACTCCTCTGCACCACACTACTGTGCTTTTGTCCTTATTACCTGATATGTTGTGGACAGCGCCTTGCCGTTGGCAGTGAAAGAGACGAGGCCAGTGGCCAGGTCGATCAGACAGCCGATCTCCAGGTCAGAGTTGGAGCGGCTGGAGGAAGACGGGCCGACCGCGTCCGCTCCACACACCATGTAGCAGTTGCTCCTCTGGACACTGCAGCAACAGCAGACAATGAGCTTGGCGTGCATAAATCCATGTGAACACGAACAACCACAGGACAACAAAGATTATTGAAAAAGAACCAATTTGTGCACAATATATTATTCATTATGTGTCACATTCATCGATCTGTATTGACTCGTGACTCTTGCCTCATTCATAATCATTACGTTACACACAGAATCTCTTTTCCCCATTTACTCCCCCTACTACTGGATGGAAAAGGGAAGACACAAAGTCAATATATAGTCTTTGGTTTCTCAGCCGAAGATACAGCGCCACTCCAAGGTCAATTAAGGCTTATGGGTAATTTACAAGTGTAAGTTTGCTGTTCTAATTCAAATGTGTAAGTCATTTCAAAATATATATATATAGGGCTGATTGGCGATGATATAGGTATCGTGTTGTTTTTTTGGTAGTATAATGCTACATGTTCATCTGGACTCCTGCATCTTTGCTATCTTTATATCAAGCACCGCAATTGGAAAAAATGTTTTGGGAATTAATTGTGTTATCTTTTTTGTCGGTCGTAGGTGCAGAAAATGGATTGTCAGGATTTTTGTTTTCTCTCTTGCCTGTGAGGCCTGTCAGGCTTCCGTAGTTTTATCAATAAAGACAAAATCCTTTTATCAACCTAAACTAACTTGTGAAACTGTATTTGTGGTTTCAAATGTTACCATTGCCAAAGTTTGCTCATGTAAATTAATTTGCCATATGGACAGAGACTGTGACATTTTAGAAGTTATTGTCCAATATACTTTGGCCTTTTCTTTCAATACCTTTTTTTTTCAGACAGCCAGAATTGATTATCTCCCTCCCATCGATACATGTTTCACTCCCTACAATGATGGATGAACTTAACGAATTCTACTTTGATCAACATATTAAAAGGACGTTCATTTCTGAAAACCTATTTCACACGACGTCCTCAGGGGCTCTGTGCAGAGCAGGATTCACACCGTGGCCCTCAAACAACATTGTATGAACAATATTGAACGACGTTCCCTAAAGTACTAAAAGGTGACAAATTTTTGATGTTCTCAGATACTCCGATTTCCTCGGACAACCCAGCAAATCTGCTGACTCTCCACGTCTACATTACACCTCTCTACGTTTCATGATAGCTTGCCTCTCGTGGACTCGGCCCCTCTCATCTCCCAGAGTGACGGTGACTGTTCGGGTCTTGCTGAGGCTGAAGTTCTTGCTGTAGTAATGATAGTCCGGTGTGACCCAGCCAACCCACACCGACGCAGGGTCTTGTCCAGCAAACACTCTCACTGAGTGGTAGTACTGCCATAAAAACACACAGCACAATAGTTTACGCACGACGAACAGAGAGAAGTCATCCATGAAATATGTTTTCAGATTTGTTTCTTTGAATATATATGAGGTGATTTACAGTCGTGATGCTTCCATAGTCAACAGTTCCATCTTCTCTTGGAGGATGGCTGCGGAGAAAAAAAATGCAGGTTTTAAGAACAACAAGGGAATCTTTCATAACAATACTCTCCACTGCTGCTCCAGTGTAGTGGTGATGTCTGACCTGAGTTTTCGTGATTCGTCCAGTATCTGGTCTGCAGAGTAGAACTCCACGGGCATGCTCATTCTACAGTAGGCCATGTCACTGTTGCTGTTCTGCGTGCCAAACGTCTTGTGGGTGACCTTAAGGCAGGGAGGGCTGTCTACCGTTCCGTCAATCCTTGTCACCTGAGGAGTTAAGAGTCAGGGGGAGGGAAGGAACATCCAAAGAAGGAAATTGATACACATCCTCACTACTGTATGTCCATTATAGCTATGTTTGTATGCTTAGAGCAAGTTAAAAACTGGCCAAACACTGAATCACTGGTTATCAAAGCTGTTATAACATCTAAAAGGACAATCCCAGCAGCAACAATAATAACGAAAAGGCTTTTTCACCTCGATATGCATGTGGCCTTGGGGTATGTTGACGAAGGTGGGAAGGCGCTTGCTGAACCACATGGTGATATCTCTGTTCATGTTGACACCGAAGGGCTCAAAGCCTTCCTGGAGACCACACATGGTGTAGTACTTAAAAGCACTGGCGTTCTTGCCCAGGTTCATATGTCCAATCTGAGACGTGCCCATACTGCACACAGGGATGAAACCTGGAGGAGAGTTAATTAAGGGAAATTGGTGGGTTAGCCATCCAGTCATGTCATCCCTTGTTGCAATGTGAGAGGTTCATTAAAACTTGATTTTAGCGCACACAATTCTACTAAAATCTGCACCTTTATTAGCCTTAAAAAATCACATCAGTGTACTGTCATGTATGTAAAATGTCTATACAGCAGAATCCATCACACCATCAACTATGAAAATGAATTTGAATCATTTAACTTTATTGAAATGTGACTCTCTGTCTTGTCCTGGAGTATGGTTTTCAGAGTAATGGGCCAAAGTCTCAATGGACTTCATTAGGTTGCATCATCATTAACATTTTGTAGTAGTTTTTAGTTTTGTTTTGCCTCATACCAAACAAACCCAGTCCCACTTCTAGAGATACTGTGGATGAAACACACGCAGAATAAATGAATGAATTAACGCTAAAGTTCTCTGGATTGCGGAGCCCTCACCGTCCTCCGTCTCAAAGTCAGCGAAGGCAAGCTCGGAGCCTTTGCTGGTGATCATGAGCTCTCCGTTCAGGGTGAAAATCATGGATTTGTCCTCCATGTTGATCATGCAACCGACCACGTCGCCCTTTTTCCAAGGCTGTCCAAAGTAGCGGCTGCCTGCGTGCATTCGTCGACCCTTCACAAAAAAAGACAAAGTTTTTTCGCAGCATGTATCATATGATCCCCAATCACTCATAAAACGGTTATGATCAAAGTGATCCTATTGTGCAAGCTGCCAAAAATACTGTGGAATCTATTTAACCCAAATGTTTTTATACTAAATAATACATTTTCTCCACCAACATTTTAAATATATCTCCTTTCATACTGATTCATCATTAGTATTGCACCGTCCACAAAATCCCAACAGAGCTGGTTTACCATGTATCCGTCGAAGACGAAGGCCTGGTCATCTGTTCCTAGTTCCACATCGGGCCTGCAGCCTGGTCTGGCCCAGCCAACCCTCATATCACCTCCACTCAGTGCCTCAAACTCAAAGTACCACTTTCCCGTCTTCACTGCATACGTCTGCTCCACACGGAAGAAGCGGATGTTGTTGACGCTCTGATCATTAACCGCATGGAGGGCTAGGTGAGGAGAGAGACAGGAGAAAGTGATGCTTTGACTTCATAGGTACATTAAATACCAATCGACACCAATAGCAGATGAAGCTAATGGTACGCATCATTGTCAGTATGAAATTATATCATTCCATCCTGGCTATGCCACTAAATATGAAAATATTCAGAGCACTTACTAAATATACCGTAATAATTAGTGCTTACAATATCCCAGCAAAGATCTTGGTGTAGGATAGATTTCAAAAAAACATTTATACCATAACATTTACTGATTTAGTTGCTTCAAAATAAAAGTTTTGAAATAACAAAATAACGGGGGACTTTAATTGGGAAGAATTTATAGGAAATGAAATGTTAGCATGTGAGCTATGTTAGCAGCTGTTCTTCAATAAAAACAAGTTTACAAATACTTCAACGAGGACGAGAAAGCAGCAAAAATAACAGGGTACAGGCTTTTATTGTGAAGAATTTATGGAAATTAAATATCTTCATCCACTGTTTTACAGCCGGTTCTTTTGACCTCGAAATAATACAATCACTATCCTTTTAGGCAGGTTACACTGAAGTGTCAAGGGCAGACACACATATGTTAACACAGCTGAGTTGCGATCTGGCAAATCCGGTCAAATCTTGTCTGAAAAGACAAGTGAAACCACGGCCTTTGTAGCGCTAGTTCACAACAGTTTCCATAGTTGTTTTAATAAAATAAATATGAATACTATAGTCCTATTTCACTTGACACTCAAGATGTATGTTATGTAGGATTTGGACTTAATTCTGCACATCACCACTTTGGAAATGCTAACTGGAATACAGATGTGATGGCAGACGAGTACACTGAACTTAAATTAATGTATACAGGTTTAACTGGCCAAACACATTCAATCGTTCTAAATAGCACCTGGCGCTCTATATTTTTAACTTAAAACAGGATTCTTAAGAGTTTTGTATGTCAGCTGTGTCAGCAATATGGTCTCACCCTCCTGGTCTGGGGGGTCAATGTCATATCCATATCCAACCATGGTCCTGATGGCCTCTCTCAAACTGTCTCTGTTAGATTTCTTAGTGCGCTCGTCCAGAAAAGCATATGGCACCAAGCGGGGATTACGCCTGCTCTTCAGATCCTGACACAAACAAGAAACACATGTAAGTAGGAGAAAGACGAGCATAAAATACTCTTTCAGCAAAAATCTTCAACAACATATCTACTTTATCATCAACTATACTCTAATTTAAAGACGGGACCAGTATCCTGCCAGTTGCTTTCTAAATGTAAAGAATAATGACTGTTACCTGCTGGATGCCATAGGTCCATCCTTGTTTAATTCTGTCTTTGGCCCACACGTTGTGTGCATTCTCGGCTAGTTTATCAACCAGAACCTCCTGACCTGCAGTCAGTTTCACGTCAGTGAGATCAAGTGGCGCAGGCTTATAACCATTAGACATCATGTAGCTGCAGAAGAAACAACAAAGTATTTTATAAAACATTCACGTTCCCATTTCCCTGGAGACTAACACTCAAATTGGGTCAATTTATATCCAATTACATTTTGTTTTCATCTTTAGTGGTAAGACCAATGTACAACAATCAGGCATTACAGCTTGAAGGCAAGGGAATAACATATCAGAGTAATGTTCTAAATCAATTCAATAAATAGAACCAATACAAAGTACATCTGCAGTGACTTATATTTGGCAGCGTATTTTCCATGTGCTTCAGACATTCGCCCTTACAGATTGAGTGTATTAATCTTACAAAATGTACAACAGTTATAAATGTTGGTAAATCATTTTGTTACAGGGATAAACCACAACATCTAAATGATGTAAACATGATGATATCATGAAACACACAGCAAAATGCATCATATTTGTTTCTAGGATGTCATGAGAAAAAAAACCCTGCTAGCTTACTCTTTGGGAAGTTTGATTTTCTTCAGGTCATCCTCAGCGTTAACATAGACCTGGGCAACATGGCATCCAAGAGCCAACAGGGTCCTGAGGATAAAAGAGACATTTAAAACAGAAAAAGAGAGATAAAGACAATAACTGATATCAATACTCAAGCCCCATTACACTTTGTTAGATGTTTCAACCTTACAGTAGCAGAACCCATTGAGAGACTGCTACATTTTAACACAGCTCATTAGCCATTGATGAATCTTAGAAGATCAATAGTTGCACTGCAAACAGTAGCCGGATATGGCTGCGTGGATACGTGGCAGTTATTTAAGCATTTGGCTTGGCTTTATTGAGCCAAGCCAAATGTCTTGACAGTGAGGTGACTCAGTCAGTAGCTGGCTCAAATAAGCTTGGGACTCAAGATTTCTTGAAAATCAATACTGGCATCCACTCAAGAGATGCAAGTTCATTACAAGCACTGCTTTAATCTGAGCCTTAATCTGCTTTTGCGCAGCATTCAGCAAAGAGCAGAGGCAATTCCACGAATAGATAATTGGATTATTTAGCCGACTGCTCGGTCTTACTTAAGTGTTTCACTCGACATCTGCACGTTGTAGTTCCTTTCAGTTTCAGGCAGCTTTCCGAAATCCACAAGGCAAGGGTGCTGCCTCTTGTTGTCATCCCGAACCTGAGGAGAAAGCAGTTGGGCGTCACTACTGTTCGCTTCACTGCAACAAATGTGGAAGAAGCCTGGCTCAGTGTTTAGAAATTTAAGAAGTGGACTGCAGCTGAATTTATCTGAAGTAGACATTGGCAGATGCACATGGATTAATTCAAGCCTCAGGTGTTTCTTTAATGAAGCAGATTCAAGCCTTAATGAGCTCAGAGACATGAGTCCCAGTGGAAAGAGTCTCAGCTGTCAGTGATCCAGTCGAGTGAAACTCTAAACAAGACGCTGCCTGTGACTCTCTCTCTCTGATAATATTTTGTTATTCAAAGTTTAAAAAACAGAAATGAGGTGAACAAAAGGTCTCCGTTATACACAGTAAGCTCAAGCACTCAGACACAAAACAATGAATCCGTATCCAACTTCACTCTCATTCTGCTTGCCAAGTATCTGCTGCTTGTCCAAAGAGCCTTCTGTCTTGGAGTCAATCAATGAAACTTTGAGCTCACTGAGGCTTGGTACAGATTAAATACCAAGCAGCTGCTTGGACCTAAATGTGGTCCTTAATAACAATAAGAAATTAATCATCCCTTTGAGTGGAGCTTTCGCCCAGTCTTACCTAATGAGGATGTCATACGCTTGGAAAGTGAGACTCTCATTCAATTTGCTAAACGGCTGGTGTGACGACGGACGCAGTGGGATATGATTCTGCGATAACCACTGCAGTACAAAAGAGGCAGCGTGTGCGCTCAGACTTCTTACAAACCGCTCTCCAATGAGCGGGAAGAGTGACGGACACGTGGAGAAAAATTGTGGAGGCAAGAGGCATTAAAGCGTCTTTAGATGTTATAAAGGTTGACTTTTGTTACTCACTTCCAACTGAAAAATGCAGTTTCTGATCTAATAAAAATAACCAACCAGAAAGGGTTAGAAGACCATTTGAAGATGTGCTAATTTGTGTCTTCTTACAGCAGGAAACATGCCTTCCTTTGCACATGTGGAGACATAAAACCTTTGAGAGAAAGTGGGTATTTTTGATAAACATGGCAAAGATGAAGACACTTTCTTTAGATGTTTCTTTGTTTCGCATGTAAATTCCTGAAACTGAAGATTTGATTTGTCAACAAAACTTATCTAAAATTAAATTCGCTTTGAATACTTGAGAACATAATGTTCATTCTTGTTAACTCTTACTGAGTTAAGGATTTGATTCTTTCTCCTCTGTTTTTCTGAAGCCGTTTACAAACAGGCCCATATCAGTACATTGAAGCGGCAGCCAGACCCAAACTGGTGCCAGTTCAAGAGGACAGAGATTTTAGAGGTAATTAGCCATTAGCCTGCATTTTGCTGGAAAGGGCTCAAGTTGACATTTGGCACTCACCGTCTACAAATACACCCAGTGTGTGTTTGTGCATTGAATGTGATGATGGATAGCAGCTTTACCTTGCCATAGGTCCAGCCTAGTTCAATCTTGTTCATCCCCCACAGCTCGTGGATGTTTTCTGCCAGTTTGTCCCGGACGTTGTCCAGGTGAGGGGGAAGAACAATCTGCAGAGAGAGAGAGAGAGAGAGAGAAGGGGGACAGATGGTACAGTTGGATGATAAAAAAATACGCCAATTGGCCAACAAATGAAGATGGTTGTCATTTTTTTCTCCTGACTATGCAACTGTTAGCGTCCAGTGGATTGTAGAAACGTTTGCAAATCAATAATTAATGTAAAAGTGAATACAGTGAGCCTTCAAACTTTTAAAAATATGTTCTCTTGTTTATTTTATTACTTCAAATTTTCATAATATACATGAATCTTGAATTCACTGATGCAAAAGTAAGATTTCCTCGATGGCGCTATGCTCACCTGGCTGGTGTCAACTGGAGTGGGGACGAAGGAGGCCTGAGAGAGGAACTTGGTGTTTCCCAGCAGGTCACGAACCCCATCATGGTCCCTCTTGTAATCCTTCACAGGCTCTACATGCATCTTCTCTTTGGGCAACAGCGCCTCATAGCACGGAGAGTAACCAGCGGGTGGCAGGAACTTGAAATCTCCGTGGCGTCCACCCAACAGGAAACGGGCTCTGAGATGAGAAGTTGCATAACATTGCAAGATGTTATGCAATAACTCAACTTCACCAGTGTATTCTAAACATCTCCTTACTCATTTTTTCAATGAATTTTTAATTACATAATACAAGGGCCGCAATCTATCCAACTTTTCGTTAATATTTCTGCCACAAGTTAATTATGTACTTAGTAACACCTAGTATAAATATAATTAAAGTTTTTCATCTCGTCTCCCATTTATAAATGCGGAGCCTTACTTGACACCTGCAGAGAAGCTGACGACAGGGAAGAAGAATCCATCGGTGTTAAAGTCCTCGAACATGCCCTGGACAGGCTGCCCGTTGATCCTGAAGGACATGCTGGGAGCGCCCAAATCCAGACAGCAGCTGACCACATCGTCTGAGTTCAGCAGGTGCTGGTTGACGGAGGCCACGGCCCTCGGGATTCGCCCTAGACAACATTGGGCAGAGACGGAGAGGGAGGATGGATGGCTGTTACACCAGCAACGTCATTGCAAATGTAGGGCAGGTTGATGGGCGAGGGGGAGAGAGGGGAGCAGAGAGGCGGAGAGATGGGGGGTGAGTGCTTTGAAAGGGATGACATGAAATGAATGAGGGGAGGTGATGGATCTTTTAGTAGATTTGGAAAGGAAGAGAGGTGAAAAAGGTGTTGTGCTTTTAAGGTGAGAGCAGAGAATAGGGGGCATTCAAGGATTCAGAGGCCTAAAGCAAAACCGACAGTTGGCTAAACGAGATGCAAACACTGATGTTTTCTTGTCGGCAGAGAACATGTCTGCATGTCTTTAACTGGCCTTCACCTTTGCGGTGTGTACAGCTTGAAGACATTAGGCATGTGATGTAAAGTCCTGAGGGAAGGTTAACGTGGAGGTTTTAAGGGTGGAATTTTATATCACTGTCAGTGCTGTGGTAAATAAAGAGAGCAACCTAGAGAGTGGACAGCGGGCTCCTGCATTATTCACAGTAAGTTCTTTCAAGGCAAAGTCCTTCCAAATCCACAAGACCTTACTTTTGTATTGCACACCATGATTTGGAATTATTTTACTGTAATGGTACAAATTATCAAAGAAAGTTATTTACCAGTTTATACTATACAAAGTAGATCCAAGTCAAACGTAACAGAACACACTTTTTTACTTGTAATTTACTTGTATTTCCTGGCTTGCCACAGAGAAAACTTCAAAAAAGGGCTTCAGTTTAGAGACTGCTTTACAAGTTTAAGTTAAATATTTTTCTGTAACATTAAATTAGGTGAAAAATCATCTTAAGGTTAAGTTAATGCAGAACAACCCACTCAAACCCACTTTTTTCTATGAGCCCAAATTTTTGGGGTTATCAATCTCAATCACCCTCATATTATAAAAGTAGCCAGTGGTGCTGGCCTTAAATAAGATGCCTACCTGACCAGAGATGAAGTCCATCAAAGCTGTAAGAGTACAGGTCATCCCCGACACCATTGCCACCCCATCCTTCTCCTCCACCGGGGTACGGAGCGTAGCCTTTAGTGTTGGCCCAGCCTACCCTCAGGTGTGTCGGCTGGCCAGTTAAAAAGTGGTCCACCTGGTCGATCACCAGCTCAAAGTACCACTTCTTGTACTGAGCTGAACCTTCAGCCACGCCCAGGAAGATGTTCGGCCTCATACTGGAGGTGATAAGACAGAAAGAAGCTTCTATGATGCAAAGCGTCAGAATATAAATCATTGAATCATTCTGTTGAACCCCAAAAGCCAGACTTTCTGATTCAGCACCTAGTAGTGGCCTAAAATGTCCTCCAATAAACCCATCCAAGACATCACCTGTCTCCTAGGAGGATATTTTAACATTTGGCACAATAAGACATAACATATATCAGATTTTAACCAGCTACCATGATGAAACAAGTTTGAACCCATAAACACTTATTCATAACCAGTAAGAGGCTTTCCTCTTTCTTTACCTCTGAACATCATTGACTAGTCGAGTCTGAAGCAGCAGGTCCCTCTTGGGAAGCAGGTTGTCACAGATCAGATTCTGGTTGGCTCTCACTGCCACCCCGTTACAAACACAGAGGGAACACAAGACATCCAGAATCTGAGAGAGAGGAAAAGTGGAAATAACACTATTATTAATAGCTCTCTTTTGTTTTATAAATACGTTGCACAAATGTAAAAGAAAGTGCGTTCAAACACCCTAAGATGAAAATCCACACCTTAGTTCTGAGTTAACTGATCAGTTGTTTGTTCAGATTCTCTGCAAGCTGCCATGCTTGTAGCATATGCACACTGTATACAGGGCCTACACAACCATAGACTTCCACCTGCCATTCATAAAATGACAGCTGTTGTTTACGAGGATACCCTTTTATGCCTGCAACAATTTACCCTGTAAATTGTGACTGTATTACACCTTGTAAATTGTGACTGTGACAATGTCGTTAGATGTCAGTCCTTGTGACGAATATTAAATCGTTAGTTTAACTTTTGCTCAACAGTTACTGAAGTTTGAAGACTAAAGGTGTTATTCACAGTCAAATTCTGTTTTGTCCAGTAAGAGTAACTTAAATTGTTAAATACTCAGAAGAGAATAATGAAATAAAAAGATACATTTCAATTAAGTAGACATCATGAGTAACCTCATGTATTTCCCTGGATTTAGGAGACACATTTGTCCATAAAATATTTCTGAAATCACCAGTACCACATGTAGGCTTTGTACAAAATATTTGGATTTTTCAGCGTAGTACATGAAGTGCAACAGGCTGTAATTGACCTCTTCCTTCACCGTAATAGTTACTATTGTAATTGTTGGTCACGTTAGCAGTGGTCGAAAGTGGTCCTAAGTATTGGGCCGGAGCGAAGTATCTCGGTGCTGCAGTAGCATGAAATCTTTCACCAAATAACCTAACCTGCATGTATTTGGACTGTGGGAGGCAGCCTGAGAACCCAGAGAAAACCCATGCTGGCACGAGGAGAACATGTTAGAGTAACATGCTAGCGTTAGCATGTTAACATCCAGTTAGATAAAATGCATGGTAACTATAGGCATGTTAACATGCTAACATTAGCATCCAGCTCAAAGCACAGCTGAGACTAATGAAAGCTTAGCGTGAGTCATTTAAAATAACCACGAGATGAAGCACAGTTGTGTCTCCATAGCTTTCATCCATTCAATATTTTGTTTGTCTACTTTGTTATGAGCTAGACAGCTTCAGTGACTTTTAACAGTATGACACTACTTGAGCTATTAAACATGGTGTAATACAGGTTCAAATCAGGAGTTGAAATCAATCGTTGAAACCAATCGCATTCAGTCTAAAACACCTTTAGCTGATATTCAGGCTACTGCGTACACGTATTTCTGCCCACCTTATGGTTGCGTCCATGCTTGTAGAGCAGAGAGATGATGGATTTAATGTGACCTCTCTGAATGATGTTCAGAGCCTCCGGACTTTCTAACAAAATACAGTGGAGGACTTCCAGGATCCCTGAGAGGTCAGACAAAATATGCGTCGTTATCAGAACAAGTGTAAATATAATAGACCACATCTTAGCATCAGTGGAGCAATTTTTTTTCTGATACTCAATGTCATCCTATAAAGGTTCGGTGTTTCCCATAATACCTGATGAAGATTCCAGTCGCTCCAGTTTGCTGACCAACCAGTCCAAGTTCCGGGAAAACTGGGTGCAGTTGGTCCTGTTCCCACGAATCAGCGCAGCTGAACGAAAGACAACAAATTCACAAGTTTTAATTACATGAATCCAATAGAGACAAGCAGACTTGTACGTGAGTTGATGTTCCAGAAAGTATGAGTTTTAGTGAAAAATAGTCCAACCATTTTTCTGTGAACACAAGTCATTGTGTGATATCCTCGGTCCAGAGGTAGATATTACAATTCTTTAAATCTGACACCTACTATTATGAACTCTTTCTCAAAGCAAATACATGAGACAGAATTTGAAGTGAGGTGCTCTATGTTCTACAAAATGGTGAGGGCTATTACCTTGTGCCCTTTCTCTCTCACCATGGTGACATTAAGAAGACTCATTATTACTTCACTGTCTCGTGTTTCACCATTAGGATTCAGGGACACTGGAGCGATAATGCCCGTGAAACAATTTAACAGCTCTTTGTGCCAAAGGAATACTGATGAGTGTCTAATCTCTTTTAATTCTGTCTTTTCAGGAAAGCTACTGTTCAATATGAACACATGGATAGATCCACGTGGCAAAGGCAGGGATGTTCACTGTGAATGTGAAATTAAAAGTCAGAGACTGAGAGGAGAACCTGAGGCTACACAGACTACATACTTTAAATAATGGTCACATTAGCACACACTATATTAAGTGATTTAGAAAGCTACCACTATCTACCTCCAAGTAAGACAGACGGAGCTTTTAGCAACAATAGCACTGGCATCATATCAATGAAGATAAACAATTGTGAAAGGCTTTGTGCAAAATCATCATCATAAAAAGCTTTTGTGACATTTTTACAGGTTTTGCACATGGAATAAGAAGTTGCCATCAGAATAGCCTCCTCTAGTTTGAAGGAATCTTTCCCAATGATATGGAACATTTTAAAGAAGCACATACGTATGTGTAATTCTTAAATCATACCTACACAATGTATAATAACGCATACTAGTTACTTAAAACCTACCAATATGGTATTATCTGACCTCCAGTGCATAAACTTCTCAACTTGCTGCAGTGATGTACAGGTGTACAGTTCCTATAAATCCTCATAATGCACACTGACATATAATAAAGAGGTAAGTACTTGTACCTTGCACCTTTAGTACCTTGTACTAAAGGTGCAAGGTACTTTACAAGGATAAATATAATAACTGCTCAAACCGCTGACTAATCGTTTTGCATAAAAGGGGGTAAGGTTTTGTGTGTACTTTTATTGGTTGACCTGAAGCAGGTAAGACACTGATGAGACTGTTTTTTCAACGTCTGATTCCAGGATCAAGAATGAGCTCTGAAACTCAACTCTTATAATGCATTATGTAGGTTATCTACAGTATAATATAGGCATGTGCTATTTTAAATAGCCAATGTAACCAGGTTCATTTAACTAGTTCAAAGCACTTGTGTAAAGAGATAAATCTGCCCCTGGAGTAACTAAAACTAATGAGTTACCATGATGTATGATTTTGATGTCCATGTCCTTATCATTAAACAGGTGTGTTGAACACCTGGACAGTCAACTTACACTGATAATTAGCCTTTGAAAAAGACTAATTAAGAGTTAATATGGAAAGAAGAAGAGGTCGGGACAAACACAATCTATCAGGCACCCTTCTTCACCAGACTGCGTTTGCATTTTTTGGCTGACCCCTCTGTGGGCATACTGGAGTGTACTCATTTATTTGTAGGTTCTGAGCCCGTGTGTTTAATGTGTGTGCATGCTGGGGAGGTGATGAATATAAGGGCAGTCAAGGTGAGCCGACGGGAAGCCGTTGATGGGAAAGCTCCAATGACAGCAAAACAAACAACCCAAGAAAAAGTTGTCCAGATTAAAACTTTTCAGGGTCAAAGCTTTAATATACATGACTCAAAGCAGGTCCCAAGAGGACGGGCTAATGCCAGCACCTGTGATGACTGTCATTATGGTAATGACGCTATCATTTCTTCAGATATGCAGTTCAACAATTCGTAATGTGTCCACACTGATCTCAGAGAACGATGTCCTAAATGGAAGGCAGGACAGATTGAAAAGAAGTATTTAAGAAGCAATCAGGCTTCTCTCGACACTCGCTTGTTACTAATAGTTACAAATGAATGTCTCACAAAAGGTGTCAGCAGCTGTGATCTCCAGAAGTGGCATAGAAGAGAAGAAGAGTAAGGAGGAGGGAGTTGATGGAGGGGGAAGGAAGAAAGTAAGAGGAGAAGAACACAGCCAAGATATAAGAAGCGTGAAGGAGAAGATGACGATTCGGCGAAGACACTATGGGAAGATTAATACTGCATTTCTGCCCAGGGTCAACAGCAGACAGACATGTGATTCATCACTCGGGCCCGCTTACCTAAGAGCTCATAGAGGAGATTGAGAATGTCCTTCCACGCCGCGCCTGCCTCCTCCCCTGCCATCTCTCCGAAGTGGGCAGCGTTGTTGTAGAGGTTCATCCGGTCGATGCATTTGGATAGCAGTGCCAGCATGCCCTAAGAAGACGCAGGATTATTCCCATGAATAATCTATGATTCACCTCGTTACACAGACGGTATATTCCTTTTTGCAAAAAGATGTAAAATAATTATCTTGAACTTCCCGCAATGGGGAGAACTGAAAATCCTTTTTGAAGTCACGTGACATATTAATTGACTGCATTTATAAGAAAATTGGAAACAAACGCAAAAGCAATATAGAAAACAAACATTTTAAGGGATAAGAGTTTTACAACAGGCTCCAAGTTTATTTGGATTACTTATTCTCGCTCTGGTTTCACCCTGATCCTAAGATTAAAGAAGTAAGATCTTCATTATACGAGGGACACATTTCTTGCACATAAAAGAAGCCACAAATACACAAAGCACACACTGGAATGTGGATTATGTTACAGAGGTACGACCATCGACCGCAGCAGGTCCAGTCGAGGACCATTGTCGCTCGTCATTCCCTATTTCTCCACTCACTTCCTCCCGTCTCTCTAGTGTCAAAATCTTTAATAAAAGGCATACAAAATATGAATTATTGTCTCAACTGTTATCTCAATATATATCCATCTTGGACGCTGCTCCAGTGGGTTTGAAGAAGTATCCTTTGGTTTACTAAGGAGTTCAATTATCCTCACATGGCAACTTCACAATCAGCATTTCGTTAGCGTTTATTAATTAGAAGTTTATGGCTCCACATCGTCCGCTCTCACCTCATCTTTGAAGAGGTCTTGTCGTTTGATGACTGAACGGAGAAGACACTGTTTCTCCTCGTGCTCCAGCTCTGAATCGGGCTGTTTGAAGTACTCGATCAGGTCATTCAGTGTTTGCAGCACCTCTTCAACATACCCAGCCACCGCCATGGACTCCCTCTCCGCAATGCTGTCCAAAGCGCTGAGGGGGAAAGACAGGGAAGATCAAGACGGAGAATCAAGCTGTAAAACGTGAAATAAACCCAGCCAAAGTTAACACTGTGTCATGTTGTGTGACAGAGAAGACGGATGAAAGTGTTTGAGAATAACCCCTTGTCGTTACTTAATAAAGTTGGTAAAGAGGATCGTGGTGTTGCGGATGATGCGGGCAGCCCGAGACTCCTCATGCTGACAGCGCTGCAGGATAAGCCCATCGTCCATGTGGCCCTCAGAATGCAGGCAGGCCTGGACAAGGACAAACACACACATAAATATGCATTTCATCATTACCACAGGATCAACACCATGGCATCTATAAAGCAATCAAACATCACGGCATCAGTAAATCGTCCAATTAGACCTTTGATATTATTGATATCGTGTCCAATAGATGGATGTTAAACAGCTTTTAGAGTTCGTGAAATATGCATAAATACACAATCCCAGTCATATCTCAACATTGCTCTCTGACAATTCTCAAATATAACTGTAAAGTTTAAGCAGATACTCTGTAAGCTTTGAAAAAAGTTATTTATATATGTAGGGTATGAAGGGAGTCTCCTGCAGCTGGTGGGTATATTTACACCACTACAGCTCAGTGAAACCTGACTCACTGTAATCAAACAGCAAAATCAAGAAGAGGGACGAGGTGGGGGATCTCAGTGTAGAATGACTATCACCTCCAACATATCAGGTGCATTAGTATGCTGCCAAGGCTGCAGGGACTGCCTGGCGCCAGTATGAAGGGACGTTTGATGTCTCTGAAGGCGTGACCAGCGATGAGCTGCGTTCATGTGCCGCCCTAATCCCCTCTGTCTCACCCAAAACTAACTCTCCCCCTCCAAATGGCCCATTATCACGTTCAAATGGGTTGCTACATGATGTGTGCAGGACGGGTGAGTGTCGGAGAGGGGTTGGGTCAAGTTTGGTTTGCTTGCCTAAGTGTTTAAATAGCCGTATAACACATGGGCTTCGAGGTGTCTGAGACGAGCTATGGCAGGCATTCAGGATCTCTCTGTAAGCACAGGTAGAGGTAAGAGAGATGCCAGATACCATATACATTGATATTTGTATCACTATGCACCAGTGCAATCATAATTATGCAACAGGCACTGTCGCCTATGAAGTATGATTAGCCTAAAATATGTTCCTAAATGGCTAGTAGGTCACAAGGGCCACAATTAACTGTGAATTATGGGAATAAAAATACCAAGGCTGCAAGAAAACCAGTATTTTTCAAATATCAATATACTACGCATCATGATTTGGCAAATTTATGCAAAAACCACAACTAAATAGTGGACATGTTTGGATTATTTTGTCAAATGTAAACTCTAAATCTTTAACTTTGTCAGTTTTTGTTTACAATATGCTTGAAATTACCCGACATGCTGATATGATCCTTTCGTCTCAATGCAATCACAAGTCAATTTAACGATAATCTGGAATTATAGCCCAACCCTTGTTGCTTATTCATATACTATGTACAGTGTGTGTACATAACTGTACAACAAAGGAAGCTTTTCAAATAGTAAATATTGTGTAACAGCTATTAAAAAGGAAACTTTATGTTTGTATGTAGTTCTTAGGTAAGCTACTGAGTACAAAACAATGAACTATCTGAGCACAAAAAAACACAAAAACTATTATCTTAATGACTACATCTTTCATAAAATTGCTTATAATGGTTAAATGGAAATTCTTTGTTATGTGAATGGGAATAATCAGAAAATTGAAGGCTCCGAAAAGATGTATTATAATAATCATTTAAACATAAGGTCTAGAAGAAAAGTTTTTATCCAATTTACCCTTCTTTTCAGCGGTCCTAGGCGAGATGATTTGGCATCAGGCGCCAGATAAGACAGCCACAGTCCTGTCTCCACATGCATGACGAAGCACATAGAGTCTCCGTACTTGATCTCTGGCACTCCCATGCCGTCAATGTCCCTCTTTGGACCCGAGTCACCCTTTTCCTGTTCGCATTAAGAGGCACATACCCACATTACCAAAAAAAAACACACAGAGAAAAGCAGCGTACACACACACAACACGTGGGCATGGAAATATGACAAAGGAAGATATATTGTGATGAGATGGTAATCTGAGAGGCAGGTTGAGGAGGTTGCCAGGAGGCTGCTGCTGGCCTCATTAGCTCTACTACATTTCTGGCTCGGCAGAGATGGAGCGATGCAGCTGATTGCAGTCGACAGCGAGAGGCGGAGAACATATTAATGCCCGTGTTCAACATTGCAAAGCATTGACCTTTTCAGATACATGAACCAACTGGCACTGGATTGCGTGTATCATGGGTGGAGAGAGAAGAGGTTGGGAAATACATCAAAAAGAAGGTTTTTTTTTACGTATTTCTATTTTTCGAAAGTACCATGACTCCCCAGTAATCCCAAAACGCCTGCAGAAATAGTGATGACTGAGAGCAATTACACTGTGAAGTGGACAGCACTCAGGGGGATTTCATACTGAACCTATTGTAGATAAAAGGATGTCCACAGGGACACAATGGTACTCTGTGAAGGTGACTGCGGGCATTGAGCTGTTTATGAGGCTGTAGCCATTTTACCACAGGATAAAAATGTAGTATTCAACAAAGAAAAACATAAAATAATTAGTGTATCATGTTTGGATCCAGCTCTAATTTTGGAAGAAGATACAGTAGGAAAGAAAAGTAAAATAACTGCAAATCAAAGTCACAAAGAGAAATAACACTGAGAAGTGAGACAATCTTACTCCTGGATCAACTTCTACATCTAAACGGCACAATTTACATGTAAACACCTCACTGAACAACATGACTAAAATACCCTTTTTCAATTTGAACTTCAGTAAGCCATGTGCTATTTTTGGCAGTGAGACATTGTTTTTGGAATACGCACCATCAAAACAAAAGAACTGTAGAGTCCTCGGAATCAGAAAGAGTTCAAAACAGAGCGTGGGAAAATAAAAGGGTGGGGAATTGAGGGAAATAAGGAAAGGCAAATGAAAGAATACTTAGTAATTATTCTGAAATCCCCCAATGCATACGAGTTACTCTTAATACCGTAGTGTTGATGGTACATTTCTCTTGACTCCTCCTAAATGAAAGTGGCTACATCCCAACCAGTTGCTGTTGGGTCAGTGGACAACATGTTTGCTTCAACATTAACACATTACTATTAAAACTGTCTGTTTTATCGTGGCAAAACATGAGCTCATTAACAGCTTACAGACCATTCCTGGGAGTCTACTATGACGCAGTCAGAGGAAGATATTTCGAGTCCTCTTTTAATAGGGTTGAGTTGACTAAGAACATCTATTTACAGCAACACTCCCGGCAGCTTTTAGATGGTACAACTACCTTGCTCAAAGGGCACATCATAAAAAAATTAAAAAAATAGAAAAAATGAATTGGGGATAATGAGCACTGACCTTGGAAGGCCTGAAGCAGAAGGAAGTGGCCTTGGTGTCGGACTTCAACCTGTACTGCAGGACCAGTCCACAGTCCTGACTCAGGGCCAGGTAATGGCCAGTAGCGAGGTGACGTAGTCGGAAGGCCTGACCCCAGCGAATGTGGCTACCGCTCCAGCTTAACACAGAGTACTGGTGTCACAAACTTTGGATATGACTCTGGATTGTCAGGTGACAGGTACAGTGACAATAATATAACACTTTCCTGGCTTTTTTAAGGAGTTTTTCTGGAGCATAATGACAATAAGCATTTAATGTTGTTGTATTTCTTAATGCAAAGCATTATGTAGTTCAATTTTGAACACCCAGCCCAATTCTGGAGGCCGATTAGGTTAATTACTGGTGAGAAATAACACGTTTTCTTTAGCAAAATCATTCATCCACGTTAGCTATTAGCATTAGTTGAACCTCAAAAATCATAAAGCCTGACTTCATGAATTATTGAATAAGGATGCCACCGATATATATTCATTTACATGTTGAAAAGGAATTCCTTCTTTTCTATAACAGACAGTGCTATTTCACCGTTCATTGAAGATTAAATCAACCAATGAGAATATTTTTGAAATATTTGCAAAACCAATCTGCAAGCGGAATGAGAATGTCAACTGAGAAATAGATCAAGTTTAACTTTTTTTTACTGTCAGTGGTGCTCAACCTTCTCTATGCGGCTAATATAGTGTGGAACATACTGTTCAGAATTCATCCCTAAACCGAAAAGGAGAACAAGTGCCTTAATAGCACCTGCACCTGCGGCATTTCAAAGTGTACAGACTCTGACAGGCGGTCCCAGTGAGAGCCGGCAGACGATGTGACTGGAGGGAAATTGCGTGGGTGGCGAGTTAAAGAAAGGAAAGAAAGACGATGGAGGGGGAAGAGAGGCAGATTGAAGGGGATGTTGAACAGAACCTCACCCTCTGAGGGACTTTGCCAGCTAATTGGTAGTGGCAGTTCAAAGTAGGAGGTGAAATATGTTTATAACTTACAGTAGACTGGTTGTGACATTTGTGCATAAAGCACCAATTCTACTTATTCTTCATGAAGAGATCTCATCAAATAAGGAAACACCTCTATACATTTCTGAGGGAGATCTATTCCAGGGTTTTCTGTTACTTCACTGAGGTAATTTTATTCTCCATGTGTGAGTATTTGGGTGTGATCTCACCTGATCCTGAGAGGCTCCAGTCTCCAAAGTGAGCGGGCCCTTGACGCTCCCTTACCCGCTTCATAGTTGACTATCCTGAGAGCACAAAGACACAAGTGGGGGCTTCTATGATATACGACTCTTTCAAGTCACAGTGGGAACAACATAACGTGAAAAATGTTCTGCTGCTGCTAAACTGTTCTAGCACAGGGGGTACCAGTGATGTTGATTAAGTCTCGTTGTTCAGACATTTGGACAAGAAATTCTTCAAAGTGAAATAGTATCTTACAAAAGCACAATGTTTTCAATAGAGATACGTATATTTTTCAAATTCTGCATGTGTTATGCTAATGACAAAAATAACTGTCCTCGGTGTGCGGCCTGTGCCGATGTTGGCAACCCATCCGACCCGACGCACAATACCTCACTCTGAGATGTAGTGGAGTAGAAGTATAAAGTTACATAAAATGGAAACGCTTTAAAATGTACAAAATAAATTCCGGGGGAGTATGCACCCGAGCCCTCACGATTCAAGGTCCACCCACCGTAGTCTCACACAATCCTGTGGGAAACACTGTACTGAGCTGATTATCTACTAACCGATTCTCCTCCTCGCTCTTGTCTGCTCCAGGGATGGTCAAGCTCTCATCATGCCCATGACAAAGACGCATCACGTGTCCACCAGTCAAATACCCTAATGATAGCAAAAACAACACTGTGACACAAGATACTCCACATTTTCCTCTTTGATCAGACAGAAATTATAATCTATAAATCTATATTATAGTTGTACGGTCGCTCTCTTTTCCAGAGACCAACCATACAGTGAAAAAGACGGCATGAAAACATGGATATTTAAAGAATACATGATCAAAATTCTTGCTATTGTTTGCAAATATTATGGTGAGTTTACAGCTTCAACAGGTTTTGTTCCGTATTGCTTACAGGCTTAACATGTCCAGATAAGACACAAGAGAACAATACTATTTGAAAACAAACAAATGTATTAAACTGTCTCCGATGAGAGACAGTTGTTACAGTGGTTGTTGCTTTTGTTGCTGGAGTCATGAACTTGCCTACAGCCATGTTGCCTGAAGAGCAGGTAGGCTGGACGTTCCACAGGGTCTGCATGAAGGAGGCATCCACCTGGATGTTGCCATTGGACATAGACAGGTGCTGCAAGAGAGCATCATGTTATCCAGGGCTTAGGACAGAAGAGTGAAGAATGCGAGTGAAGTAGGAGGAGGGACATGTGCCAGTGTTGAGATTCGAAAAAAATATTAAAACAACTTTGTGTCCGTCCTCCTGAGCTGCCAAACAGTGTTAGTACGCTGTGGGCTAAAAAGCACTGCTGCATCAGAGTTTCTCTGCGCAGCAGTGTTCAGTTTATACAATTATTCCTTCCAGCAGAAACACTTGGAGTGGCTCCCTTTTCCCTCCAGGCAGGATTCAGATGGGAGTGAAAGCTCAAATGGATCCTAGCCTTTAGCTACATCTTCACAAGAGCTGATGTGTTGATTGTAAAAATCATCTCATTGAATTTCCCTTAAAACTATGCACTTTTACACCATTGTTGGATTGATATTGGTTTGTATTGGTGTTTCAAAAATGTACAGTATGCCATGCGTTTTAGTGCAACTTTCCCTTAATGTTTACAAAAGATATGCATTGATGGAGTGCTGTGCATGAAAATATTGCAAACCAGTGTGTGGATTACAACTGTATGTAGTCAAACATTTTGTGCACCAGCTCTGCCTGATAGGATTTTTCATTTTAAAGCAAAACTGCTGCAATTCAGCTTAACTGGACACCAATACGCAAAGCAAGAAGCGCTTACGTCCTAAAAAGACTGTGTCACAAACCTCTACGATTGTTCACATTACTGGAGCACTTGATCGTTTTATGCCAGAATTTCTGATGTGTCCCATTCTCAAAAGCTGAGCTTCTGTCGGGCCAAAGCAGGTGAAGATTTCCCTACGGAGGAGATGAAAGTCTGGCTCTGTGCCAGAGTAGCTGTAATTGCACATTCCCCTCCCTGAAAGGCCAGAGCGGCCACTAGAAGCCAGCGCGGCTCACTCTCCTATGCGTGGCACGTCGCTGTCCCTCCTTCTTTCATTTTCTCTCTCAGCCTGTTCCTCGCCCTCTCCCTTTTTCAGATCTGCCTCTCCTCACTCTTTACCAAGTAAGTTAATTGAGGTCGGGTGTATAGCTCTGCATAAGGGAAAAAACTCCTAGCTCAAGAAAATATAAAAAAAAAACTGCACAGGAGGGCTTTGCAAGTAATCAGATTTCAATTACAGATAGCAGTGCAAAGTTTTCAAGTTTTCCCCTTGAATTGCCTTGTCACTCTGAAGAGGGCTGGAGTGAGACGGGTATCAGAGCTATCCGACGCCTATGAAACTTTCCAAAGTGCCTTTTTGAGATAGACAGTGAACCAAAGCAAAAAAACTCAGCTTATGTGACGCACATATTCTCAGAAAAACACAAAAAAAACCTCTATGCACTTGGCACATTGTCTGCCTCTAAACTCTTGCAAGTGTAGAGCAGACAATCCTGTCTGACGTGAAAACATTTGGTAGAGAAATAAAGAAGCCCCCGAAACAATAGTGAAGCAAATCTGAATTATGAGCGATCTGACAAGCAAACCAGACAAAGGGGAAACGAGGGATGATAGAGTGTGTATCAGAAACAAGAGACTGTACCTGATGCATCCAGACTGTCTGAAAACTGTAAATATTCATGAGAGAAAAACCTCTTATCTGGAAATGAGAAACTAAGTGGACGCTTTAATGAGAATTGCTCGAGCTGCAATTAACCCATTATCTTTTAAAAAGAGCATCTTCTTTCGAGTGTGTGATGGTAAGTTTGAAACGGATGATTCCCAATGACGCTGTCTCCTACTTTGTAAAGAAGAGTTGCCTTGGGAGTGCTTTGATTCATTCAAATCTAAAAGCTGAATGACCATGACGTCTGATCATTTGTATTGTTTACAGCAAGCTAAATCACACTTTGGAAAAGCAAGCCACATATGAAACATAATGTATGTGCGGTGTGGTGTGTGCCTGTATGTGTATGCATTGTATTTATAATTTAACAAAGAAATATAAATGCAATTTTGAAAGTAATTAATGGCAGACATATTTATCTGAAATTAATAAACAGCATTAGCAACTTTCTTCTGAATTCGTCATTTGGCTTCTTCATTACTTTGTGTGCCTGCTTTTTGACAAATATATTTTTTGATAGTTGTATAATTTATTTTTGTAATAATTACCAATAATTCTGAAGGACCTATCATAGGCATTCTGTAAAACTATTGAGAAAACAAAGCAACCAGAGGGCAGATAAGTTACTGCCAGCAACAATTAATGAGCGTTCAGTGGTGGCTGGACCCGACTCTGTTGCCAGTTTAGGTAAGCTAACGAAGTGGGTATCGAGAATCGTGGAATTTCACTGGTATTGGTATCAACTACTAAATATCTGGCATCGTGAAATCCCTAGCTTAGTATACTAAATTCTTGCCCTAAATTAACCCAGAAAATAGTACCCTAAAATTGAGGAGACACTAAAAAGGATCAAAACAATTCCATATATGGTTTTCAAGACATGGATTTATATCTTATAAGCTTTGATAGCTTAAGCTTTATGATGAGCTGTAGTTTTTTGTTTTTACTCTATAAGTTATTGTTGGTGTATCTGTTGACCAGGGCAGCAAGTTGCAAGTTGCAGCTACAATATAAGTATGGTAAGTATGGTTTTATGTTATTGAATTGATTAAATTCTGGCAACATCAATTCTTTGTACTGAAGCTCTAGGGTTGTTTTCCAGTGACGCTAATGTTTTTTTTCTTCTCAGTTACAGGCAAGTTTAAAAAATATATCTATTACTGAGACATTGGACTTGAACTACCAGGTATCTCTCTGTCGACACGCTGACTAGGATCAGGTCGTCTCCAATGCGGACTTTCTCTCCCTCGGATCTCTGCTTGGACGCCGGGTGGATGGTCCACCAGCAGGCCTCTCCTATTGACACCAATACACAAAATACATACATTTGAGCGGTCTCTTGTCCCACACGGTCATGAAGGTGACATTTTAGATAATCGTGACTCCTCTCTGTTGTTAAAGCGTCCGTCTATTCTGGGTGGCAAAAGGCCTATAAACAGCCATCATCTAAGGAAGACCGAAGCTTTCTGCTTGACACGTGGCTTTAAAAGGTTCTGTAGTTCAAATGGCAAATATAGCACTGTAACTGCGCTTTACAATCTCTCTCCCGTGGGTATCGATTCCATCTCAAGGTTAAGTCAACCTGAAACGGCTACTCATGAGAGCTGGATTCAATTCAAAGCAGAAAAAAGTCTGTAAAGTGCCTGTTAGTAATACTGTACCTATTGAATCTTCTTGTAGTCCGACATCAAATGACAGCTTGTCCGTCAGAGACCTTGATGTCTTCAAACAGGTCAGGTACTGGAGAGTGACAAATCAATTAGTGTTAAGTCAAAGCAAACATGACGACAAGCTGAGAGCGGATCTTAGCTCTTGTACAGATTTCTAATAAAATTATGACCTACATTGTATATTTGTGGATCAAAATAACAAATACATTTGGACAAAGAAATATAAATATATGATGCTAAATACATTTAGTTATTTGAAATGTATTGACAAAGTAAAAATACCAAACGTTTATTGGTTTCAGTTACTTAAATGTGATGATTTGCAGCTTTTCTTTGTTTTGTAAATTAAGTCCCTTTGGGATTTTATTCTCACAAATAAGTATAAAGTGCTGCATAAATAAATGTGTGTATTTCACATTGTCTATCAAATTGCAAGTTGATACTCACCATATCACTGAAGGAGTGGCGAAGGAGGATGGCATGACCGTAGAGGAGAGTCCGGTGTCCGCCCCCATGACCCGCCTGCCAGGAAATACACAGGTGACAGATTACCATCATATCCTAGCATCCTTGACCCCTGGACCCTGTCAGGTTTGACTTATCGCATCTATAGTGTACTTTATTAACCTCCACTTCACCTCGTTGTCAGATATAAAGTTAAGAGTTTCCTCTGCGTTTGACCCTGTGTGGGTAAACTGCACAGGACTGAATGGATAAAGTATCTTCAACGTCAGACCTCCATTCCAAGTGCAAGCAGGACAAAGACAAATAAAGAGGGTGGGAACAAACAAAACCACACACGAAATCAAACAAACCAACAAACAGATACAGTCATTAGACAACTTGCCCATTCTACCCACATGCAACTGTAGCACGATGGCAGAGGAAATGTGAGGAAATAGTTGAGCGAAAAAAAGAATAAAACATATGATTTCTTCTTCACCGGTGAGGTGAATAAAGAAAATATACTTACCCTTTTAATCAACCTCTAGCAGCAGAAGAAAAAAGAGAGAAGGTACCGTAAGCAGTGACATCAAAACCATCTTTGCATCAACAATGTTTATACGAGCTGGATAAACACAAAATCGGAAGAGGCCCTTTTCAAATCAATTGAATGAGTCCAAACTCATAAGCATAGGTACGCATTGTTTTCCATTTGAGGATTATAATAATGTCTGATGTTAGGGGGTTTAATTTTAAAATGAATGGACAACTAAGTTGCTCATTCTTTCATATCCTCTACTTGTTAGGCCTAGATATTTCTCATTGCCACATTGGAAATTCCTTTTTTTTTTTTACTAATAAACAGTGTTAGAGTGTCCTGTCTACCAGATTTGAGTTGTCTTTTAAGTTGACAAACAATATACAGCTGGGACCAAGACTTGGACTGGCACTGTAACCAGTGTGACACCCAACTGTCCCCTGAATCTGACCCCAGGCTAATTCTTTTTTGGCTACCAAGTCTCTCCCAGATGGATTGTAAGACAGACCAAAAAGGAAACAGTTTGATCAAAAGAAACATGGGAAGAGTATCCAGCAACAGCTGGGAGTGAGGGAAGGTTACAGAGAGAGCAAGAGAGAGAGAGAGAGCGAGAGAGACTGACTGTATTTCAGGACTGCTGACACATCAACACCAGGAACTGTGACCTTTGGTTTGGTGCCTCTCTAGTTGTAAGTACTGTATCCTGAACAGCTATGTTCTGTGGATTTGTGTGAAAACAAAGACAAAGAAGTTTGTGTCAATGTATTTTGCACGCATGTATGTGTTAGGGGAGGAGGTGGGTTGTGCCATAACTTGTGTCTTAAATGAATACTGAAAGTTTTTGGAAATGTAACTGGCTCGCAGGTCAAGTCACGAGGACATAGCTACTAAGATGTAGCATTTAGCTTCAGATTAGTCCCGAGGAGCACATTTAGCAACATTTGAGGATTGGCTTTTCTCTCATGTGAAGAACCCATCATGGATGTACGGTAAAAAAAAAAAATATTGAGAAAACAAAGCCACCAGAAGGAATGTAAGTTACTTTAACCGTCTCAGCAGTTCAATGATGGCTGATCCCCACACTATTGTCAGTTTAGGTAAGCTAGCGTTACACCTAGCTAAAAATAAGTATAACACTACCTGATATTTCGGTTTACTTTCCCATTTAGATGAAGGTAGCTAGAATAACACCACAAATTATACCCTCAAAAATTGCCATAACATTGTACCAACATCTGCAAAAACTGTTTGAACTAAAATCGGGCGTAACAAAAAGAAAAATCTAATGTAGCTAGCAAGCTTAGTGGACAACTCCTTCAACAATCCCATCTTCCAGGCATGGCAGCATTTAGCAATCCAGTTGAACAGCACTCCAGTAATTACGCGAGCCTAATACATATAAATGAAATAGCGTTAAAATATCCTATTTCTATGGCCTAACAGCTCCACAGCGTTGTGTCCGCGCTAGAAATGGTATTAATTATGCGCCATTTTGATGTTTTTTTTTGTTGTTGCTATTTACCTGTAATCAGAACAAGGCGTGCTATTGTAAACAAGCCTTACATCGACGTGAATTCTTCTTTAATGTTACAGAGAATTGGCGCTGCCCCGCAGCAAGTTAGTACAGACAAATAAGTTACAGAATGGCTTCAACAGTTGCTTCTCTCACAGAGATAATCGAAAACCTAGAAAGGCAGCTTTGGACATCCACCCTAACTTCACGATAGTCACATTGACATCATCATGCCAAATGTCATTACGTCACATATGTCACCTGTTTTAGGACTTTTATTTACCTGTGTTCCATACATCTTCAATCAATGTTCGTGGTATCCCGGATGTCTACAGTTTATCTTTGTACTCTCAAAGACTGTGCCAAGTTCGAGTAACCTATTTTGAGTGTCATCATCGATCCAGCCTCCGAGATCTGATTTCTTCTTCTTCAGCCAATGAACGTGAAGAGCAGCAGTGGTGGAAGAAGTCCGCTACTCAAGATTTATATTTCAAAACTAGAAATACCACACTGTACTGGGTTACAAGCAAAAATCATGGATCCAATTTACAATAATAAAGGCTGTAAGCAGAAAATGTTTGGCGTTTAGCCTCTGCTTAATTAATAAATAACTTCTAACCATTTGTAAAACAGTCAATTAAGTTATTTACTACTTTGAAAGCAGTGTAATGGTCCAGTGTAAAATAAAAACTACTTTTAACACGCGGATGATTTTGCTGGCGTTGTGACGAGCACTGATATTCAGTCAACCACTCAATGCTTTTTTAGTATTTTCCAGCCTGCTAGGCTTTATAAGAATGAAACAGTGTGTGCTTTATATTTGCTAAAACCTGACAGAGCCATTACACCAAACTATATGACTAAGTCATTTTCCTAAATGTTCACTTCATATATTAATAGCTTATGTTATATGGAAGAGCCTGAGCATGGAAATAGCACACTAATCACTTTTTCAAGGCTGTGAAGAAGGGAGTCATGCCAGACTCATTAGTTAAGTACCATCTGATATATTGATTCTCATGTATAAATTCAAGGCCCTGTCCTTCAACTCATTTGGATAATGAGACGCTGATTGTGCTCTATTTGCTTTATATTTACTTCATAAGTCCATTAAAATATGATGAAATATCTGAAAGTTAGGAAAGGAAAAAAAACCTTCGAAACACAATATACATCCGGCCGAGTTATTCTAAAAATAGTGTGTAGTGCTTTGGCAGTCCAGCGTGAGTTCTATGAAAAACAGATGAATAATCACCTACAACAGCTTTGCTCAACAGTAGTGTGTATGTGACCACTCTGAAATCAGAACTGATTTCAGGACATTTCCTCGTGTCAATACCCTTAAAACGTAATTGACGTTAGAGACCAAACCCAGAGAAAACAGAGGAGCACACCCAAACCACAAAGCGAGTTTTCTGCCAACGTGTGGGTTTTCAGATCCGTTCATTTAGATTCAGTAAAATTCGATAAATAAGGGAGCTCATTACTACCTACGGTAAGCAGAATCTTATGAAATATGTATATGTATATCCATTTAAAAGCACAAAATTGTAAGCTCTATACTAAGACTTGAACCGAATGCATTGAAATGAGAAAAGGGATGAGGAATAATACAAATGAGATGCACACACTATCACTTGAAAGTGTTTGCACGCTTGCACACAAAAGTAGTCTTCAGAGGCAAGACAAAACATTTGACTACTGTGAACAAGGTGACAAAACCAACGGATGTCTATTTCAAGATTGCCACAAGTTCAGAGATATCTTTAACGAGCTAATTGATTGTCTTCAGGCAGGCTGAGGGAAAGAGAACATGTTGAGCTACGATGAGGTGAAAGCTGAATTGACTATCCAGAGGGAGTCTCAATGTGTTTTGATATCCATTTGTACAATATGTGCTGAGAAGACAAAATTGAAATGCATTACCATTAGCTAATGTGTTACATTGCAGTACCTGCCATGGATGTTTAAACTAAATGCCGTACACGCTATAAATGCAGCAATTTATGGCAATGGAGAAATGGTCATCACTTCAAGTGAAAGTGCCGAAAAGTCAACCCTTTCGCTTGGCAGTCTATCATGCACACTGACAACATGATGGATGAACGGACTGATGGACCTACCCATTTTTCATGGTCAGCACTCTAGTAACACACAAATACAAATGAAAAGTATGTGTTATTGGGTTGCATGGCAGTCAATTACACAAATCTGAGAGCAAGAAGGGAGAGAAATGGGCCCTTATGGTGGAAAGGAAAGAGGAGGGTGATTTATTAGCCTTGCTAGCAGAGCGTTTGTATTCAAGCCAACATACCCTTGTCTTGCCAAACAAGGCCAGACTACAATGTTGCACTGTTGAGCACAAAACAAATCTGCTAACCAGGCTAATAACAATGCAGGTCTGATTCACCAGTTGAGAGGACCAGAATTGTGTAAAAGATAAGACACTATCTGTGTCAGAATGCTATGCTGTGCATGAAAGTACAGTGGTAGCCAGAGTCATCCAGCAAAACACACATTTCAGGCTATCTTGCATTAGCTTTGTACTCAATTCATCTTGCAAATAGCACCGTAATGCTGGTTTCTCCAATTGCTGCAGCTGTACTGCACAGTGATTTATGCAACCATAGCGTCGTCATCCCTGTTCCTACATACCTGTGGTCTGTCCAAAGCTAATAATACGAATTGGGGCCCATCAATTGAGGAACTTTCGAAATCAACACAGACCATGTGTATCCAATAGGAACAGTGATGAAAATGAACAAAACAAAAACTAACAAGCAGTTTCTTGAATGACCAGATTTAATGCTGGTATCTGTTTGAGAACTAAGCGCTGTTTTCTCTTTGTTTTTCACCAAACATATTAGCATTCCATCCAAATATGTGACGCCATCCCTTCCCATGTCTTGACCTCCCCCTCTGGATCTAGAAGGGCTGGGTGATGAGATTAAATGACACATGAAATGACTCTGTTGGAGCGCAGCAGCATGAGTGAATGTGAACATCTGACAGGGGTTTACAGACCACACGTACAGCCTACCGTAGTACTTCATTGCCTGTCAATGACCCCCCCCCGGCACTACAGAGCCTCTGCCCAATCAAAGATTACTTACATACTCAAATAAACATGCCAAGTGAGCTGGAGCGGAGCAGAGAGGAAAGGGGCTCACGCTTTAGTATAAATCAGAAGAGCTAGAGGAGACAGGAGGCTGTGGATGTACTGCAGCACTGCACTCTCAGATAATATCTCTCCTATCTTTGACCCCCCCCCCCCCACACACACACACACACTTTCGATTATCATCGTCCGATCTCTTTTTGCAAAACAGGAAATTGTTACAGAGAATGCTAAGAGACGGCTTCCATTTAGAAACAATTGCAGTTCCTGCCGTTAAAGCAGTTTGGAGTTTATTGCTATATCTGGTCCATCTGCTTTGCCTTTGGGAGATAATCCCATGTTCACTTTTCAAAGTCAAAACTTAGTCCAGAAACATGTGCAGGATAATCACACTGTCAACGAGTAATTAAGCAACATTTGTCCGTTTATACTTACATCTTAGACCTGGCAGCAACATTTGGTGCAGTGCTTGATGTGAGGTTTTTAAATTTCCGTCCATTTATACAGTGTTCTGGGTAATGCATTAGATTGCTCAGCCATTACAGTTATTACAGTAATCCAGTGAATCAGTCACTTCCTCAGACTTTGACTAAATTGTTTGACTTTCCATATTTAACACTTTGAGGCCTACTGTCTGGAGATACTATCTTCTTACTGCCGTCTTATGAAAACAATACAAGAATACAAACCTGCTGCTGGCTGCCTATAGAGCAAGTTCATCATACATATACTGCAGAAGACTACTCCTTCAAAACAAATGTCCCTCATGAAGTGACAACACTGTTGACGTTGCAAAGTACGTATTGATATCCTTCTCAAAACTGTGTACTTGCTGTAACTGTTACTTTTAATCAAGAGTAACTTTGTAATATGAGGTCCAACGTTGTTTTTGCTTGTTTCATGACGACGCTGCTACAAGCAACAATAAAATAAAAAATGATTGACTCTAACAAATCCCGTAGTTTTTGCAGGGTCATGACACATTCATATGTACATCAAATTTACTTTTCTCCAAGTGGGGAAGCGGCACTTCCTGCTAGCAGGGCAAACAGATACCTTTGGAAGATGTTACAATTCATTTACTTAAATAAAAAATGTCAAAGTTGTGCTGGATCTATATTTGATTCCCCAGTCTGACGTTAAAAGAGGTTTCAAGTTTTTCTTCCTTCTGTAAAGTTCATATTCCTGAAAAAACCTGACAGTGTTAGTACAACAGCAGAATCATCATGGCTGCCTCTGAGCACATTTAGTGCATTTGTATTTCCAGCACTGTTACTGCTTTGGCAGCAAGTGATTTATTTTCAAGATCACTCAATAAATAACCCATCAGCTAAATTACACTAACTATAAAACATTTGTGAAGATTATAATTCTGTTACACTCATTTTAAAAAGCAATATCGCAGAAATATAGTCTGGGACTTCTAGCAGAAACTTATATTTAAGAAAACAACCTCAAGGGCATTTTGCAACAGAGTGCTAGATTACAGACTGATTTGTGCTTGCGCATTCAAATGTTGAGTGTGTTTGTGTACAAGAGAGAGAGAGAGAGAGAGAGAGAGAGAGAGAGAGAGAGTGGTGGGGTATCAGTGGGAAGGAGGGAAGTACTCACCCCTTCGCTGTTCGGCCCAGTCTTAGCCAGCATCTCCTGCAGGGCCCGCACCGACAGGGACTGCTCCAACACAAAGTTACAAACACACAAGTCTGGAGGAACATTCTGTGGGATGGAAAGGGAGAAGGGAGAGATGGTTGGAAGGAAAGAAACATTTGTCGAAGATGCATTGACAAGGTGTTTTGAGCAAAATCCAGCGTCTCTTGTGAGCACAAAAACGATGTGCCAGGAGTTTATTCTCCCTGACTCAGTGGGCTAAATAAATATTGCATTGCCAGTCTAAAGTAGCTCCCGACAGATGCCTGTTATGACACTGCAAATAAATATATATATTTCAACAATTTTGGAACCACTTTTAGAACTGATTTAAATTGTAATTTATGAAAACCAGCTGCGACTGCGGGCAACAAGACACCAAATCTAATTTTGGTGCCTATATAAATATTTTTCTACTCTGTAGCTCATGTTTGCTGCATCTGTCATCTCACTTTTATTCTGGTGACAGTAATGCTCCACACAAATTCCTATTTATTATGTTCAATTTATCTATATGCATCTTAAATAAATGAAACTGAATTAACAGAGAAATGCAGTAATATAAAATATGTTTATTAATTAAACACATGCGCACACATGCATGTAAAATTGTACCTACTTTCTCATATTTACTAAATATTGCCACAGCAGTCATTAGTTACTAAATAAATTGCAGGCACCGATATGAGACAAGAGACAAATGATAAGTGAATAACTGTGCTCATAAATAATTCCGATGACTTGCAACTTCTTTGCCATCATGGTGTGTTGCTAAGGAGTAGCTATGGGATTATGAGGAGGGCTGTCAAAAGGTGTGCAGCCCACGGCTGGAATGACAAATAATTCCTCAGCACACAGCGTTGTTTGGTTCCGGCTACAACAGGCTTTAGATCTGTCTTCCACGTTCAGCCCACTGTTTGAGTTTGTCTCTAAACTTTCAATCCATGATGCAAAGATTAAACAACTTTTTGGAAACTCATTCAAACAGCACATGCAAAGAGGATACCAAATAATAAAAATGTGGCTTTTGGGATTACATATTGCGAGTAAGCTACTCAAAAGCAGTTCTGAGGCAGATCTGGGGACCTGTTCACTACCTGCATCTCCTTGTCAAAAGAATGAAAAATGAATTAACCCTATGATGTTCTAGATGGCATCACACTGCACACGACATCGAACAAACACATGAACAAACAACAGCCTAAAAAATCCCACACCCTCATATCAGATCACATACCAAACCTAATTTCTTCGAATGATCCTCAAATTATTTAGTACATTGTTACTGTTTATGACAACAATAGCCGGCTTCACATTACATGCTATCCATCTCTCCCCGACACAGAAGAGGACAAGTCGTGATTTAAAGGTGTTGGGTGCATGCCCTGACTTAGTAACACAACCGGCTGACCCTTGAACTCTGCAGTGAAGTGAAAAATGTGAGCAGAAGGGAGGGCTGCTGGGTGATAACGAGGGTGGCGCTGCTCTGTAACTCAACACAAACATGCATGGGAACCTCCAACACCACTGTGTGTGCACGTGTCCAGTTCTAAGAGCTGCCACCGACAACTCAGATATTCATCATTTAATTACATTTATACCCAGATAAGATGTGACAAACAACCCAGGAAGATATCAGGGAGAAATCTAGCTATCTCACCACAAAACCTTAGACAGGGTGAGTTGAGTATTTACAGTACATCTGCCTGTATGAGGATGCGACATGACATGACGCAGCTACACCTGTGGTGTCGCGAGTAACTCTTAACCTGCTGAAGACCTTACAGCACTAATGAATTATTCACAGTCAATATTCCAATCATCATACTTCTTCCAGGGTTGGGGCGGACATACTGAACATGATGCATGTCTGGGAATAGAAGAGGCTGTCTCAACGGTCACAATAACCGTTAGAAAGTCTGCAGTCAGTTTTAGACAATACAGTCATATAAGCCGTGAAAATGAGTAAAGTGATCCTTCAAAAGATTAAACAGTCTCGAGCCTTTGTTGGGATCTGACTATATGGCTTCGACATGTGCTGTGGAACAAAGAGACAGAGTCAGGCCTTCCCTTTTGCAAGCAAAGGTTTCATCCTGATTGTAGTTTGATGAGCACCAAACCCCCCAACTTTGAAGAAATTCACATTAGGGTGTGAGTTTCCTCCCCGAAATGCCACACTGCTCTCATTGGACGAGAGCAGGGATGCCGAGGCGGGACCTCCAGTAAGACGATCTTGCTCCCCCAAAAACTATGCGTTCCTGAGGGTACCTGAAAGCAGCGCTGCAATCTAATTGGCTGAGAGCCAAGACACCCCAGGACCCCTGTGGTTCAGCCACTGTTCTACAAAACTACCTGCAACCCCACCTCAACGCTTTTCCCCTTCGACCTCCGTCGAGCTAGGGAGCACACCAACGTTGTTTCCCTTTTCAACCAAATCCTAGGTCTAACAGTTTATATTCGCTGGCCGAATTCACCAAACTGTCTATTTTATCTTTGTTCGTATCCACGAAGCGAACCCTTTCATTCCTGCAGAAGTGAAGAAGCAAGAGTCCTTCAGACAGAGAGAGAGAACTTCCACTCTCCACCAAGCGCCTCGTTTGCTCCGGACATAAGGACGCGAAAATCCCTGATCCAGACGACAGCGATTCTCTCCTACCGAGAGAACACCTCCCGCGGCCCCCAGCCGCGCTGCCTGAGCCCAACGAAGCTCAGAAGAACCCCTCAGAAAACCCCCCCTCCCCCCTCAATCACCACGATCGCATCGTACCGTAAGACGAAATAGAGTCTGGGCAGAGTTAGAGAGAGGTCATTTGTGTTTATTTTATCTTGTTTGTGTGCTTAAAGTACTGTTCATTTTTATAACGTGGTGTATGCTTAATGATCACCGACACTTGCGATCCCTGAAATTGCTAGTGTTGTGTAGAAGTTACCGTGTATTCTATGCTACCGTGATTCGTGTCGAGACAGCCGCAGTGAGGTCGAAGTTGCTTCTCGTCAGTTCAGGAGGTCAGAACCGCCGGCTGAGACAAAGAGTCGCGGTTCTTGCTCCCCTGGCTGAGAGAGCAATCTTCCGTACTCCCGCGCGGCGCAGAGGATCTTAATCTTTTGTTTTATTTCATTTTGTTCCTTTCCCTTCTCTTTTACTAATCCACACACAGACACACACACAGCTTTGAGCTAATCTAGCTACGTGCTAAACGGCTACCGGCACTAGACGCCAGGTCTCCTGTTGGCTATCCGCCATTTTTGAGTCTCACGCATGAGACGTCACTACGTCCCAACTACGTCATACGTCGCTGAGCTGTTCCCTCGCTCCTCCCCCTTACGTCTGTTGATTTTAGATAGCGTGCTCATAAATGTATAGTTGTTAGTTTAGATATTAGTTGACTGGATCATTAGCATTAGAACGTAATAAACTCTGTTATATTTTAAAGAGCAGCTGTCTGTGATTACTTTGTGTATTGTGATAATAGCTGTATATGTGGTCTGTGCTCGAACTTAAACCTTCACTTTCACTCTGAATGTGTAATAGTACTCAGACTGACATTGTGAGTGAACACTAATTATGAGACTTAGTTTTATCGTTTGGTTATTGGTCCCTGTTCGCAGGGTGGTGCCCCGTTATTATTAATAATCATTAATAATTGTTACTGACATTAATAATACTATTGATGTCAAGAATTTAGTTTCTTAGATGCTGATAACCCAAACACGCTCCTTTACGTTCCCAACATAATGGTGCCCCCTTTTTGAGGCTGTTATTCCCAACACCTTGTATCATATGCAAGCTATTCAAAAGAGATGAAATAAAGTAAATAAATCCCGTTAGCTTCCTCTTCATAGAGACAAGTTAGATAAAATGAGTGCTTTTTTATGTGACATTAAAGGACATAGCTGATATTGTGTGATATGTTTGTTATTGACAATAAATTCCATGAAAAGTCCAAATCCAACAATGAACTGATCCTACACTAAAAACATTATGATGAACATGGGCACTGTGGTTTATTTTTCTAATCCGACATACACCGTCCTAAAAATGCTCACTAGTGCTCCAAGTGGGTGTTAATCCATGACTGAAAATAGTGCCCAAAAAAATGTTTGACAGTATTATGTTTAGTCATTTTAAAATCCAAGTATATATTCATGATCTGTTTTTACATTTACATCTTCAGGAGGAACAATATAAGTAAATGAATCAATGCAGAAATAGACAAATATGTGCAGTATGTACTGTAAATGTATATCAAGCCATTTGTTTGAATATACACTTAATATGAACTTCGTATTACAGGATTTCACTTAATTTTAAGATGGTATTTTACCTCCTGAATATTGTAATATATGAATAAATGATGCCACTAATGGCCCAGTCTATAATATGTAATGGTAGTACATAAGTGGAGCAACATCGTATTTAAAAAATTGCCTCAGAACTCTTCTTTAAATTGGATCCAATTCACTCAGGCCTCATTTCTTCCGACCAGCAGCAGTAAGCAGCCAGGCTTCATATTGAAGGGAAATGACGTGTCAACACCTGAGATCCGCCAGCAGATGACAGCCCCTCACCTCGTGCCAAGCCGCGCCATCACCCTGTACTCTCAGCCACATGTGACACCCAAGGAGGCCCGAAGCATCGTCGCCGGTGCCCAAGGTGAGAGGGGGGAGAGGTGTTTGTGATTGGCTGCCTAGCGCTCCGCAGGTGTTGCCCTCCGACTCAACAACAGTTCCAGGTGGGTGAACGGAAACAAGTCCCCAGATTTCATTGAATTTCTTACTGCTCAGTGGCTAAATTAAAATCATGCTTTACTTGATATGCACAGCTCATAAACATCCTGGCATTGGAGAGTTTTCTTTGGTTGTGATCATGTGATTATCACTCTGACACAAAGCAAGTGTGAAGCCTAAAATAAAACAGTAAGAAGATCATCAGTATAAATATATAGGCTGCGTTGTTGATCCCATGGAGATCTCCATTACTGACCGACGACAAACTTGCTCTCCCCATTGAAAGTGCTCAGAAACCTTCCTATTACGAGGCATATTCTCCAAAGACAAAATGATCTGCTTCATTTCAACAATTGTTTTTTGGAAGACCATACCATTTGTCTTGTCAGGAAGAAGATTAATGAGACATGTAACAGAGTACTGGCAGCTCTGTTGTGTTGCTACAACACCACAGGCAGCAAAATGCTCATTTTCATCACACGATTACAAAAATAAACTCTTGGTCAAAACCATCCTCTCTATATTATATATTGATGTAGTTTTCTCTGCCTTGGTGCCATGACCAATCACTGGGATGCACCAGTGCAGAAACAAGGACTTGAACCACAACTGGCCCCGTAAACACTGTCAGTTGTTTGTTGGGGTTCTGGCCAAGCTGGAAGCACCAGAGCCAGGAACCGAATCTGGATCCACGCGGGGATGAGGGTTTGGATGTATTTTCTCCGCACCACCAAGGCACCCATTTAAGATTGTTTTTTGATCCAAGTAGTTTTCACCATAGGGCCTTCTACTTCATCCCTACTATTTGACAGGACATTTATACAAGCTATGGTTGCTTGTTTCATGCCAAACTGTGCCACTGACTTCCCATTTCTTCATAATATCTAAACACAAAACACAAAACAAAGCTGTGTGCCATCCTCACCTTGGCTTCAGATGTGGGTTCCAGGTAACACACCCGGTTTCCAAGTCCCTCGACGGCCAGGCAAAACTTGCAATGGTCCTTCTGGATGGTGGCCACACACTGGAGCACGACCTCGTCGTCCTGCCAGAGAGAAAGAGGAGGGTTTGAGCCAAATATGTTTTGACAGTGACCTATCCAAAAAATTAACACGACAAAACAAGAGGAAAATAATCTACATTGGCTCAGATTTGTTGCTTATCATGCCACCCTCACTTGGAATACGGTTTTTAAACTGGAATCCAGAAAGGGTTCTGGTCGCAAAGCTTTCAGATAAAAAGCAACCATTGCAAAGAAAAAAACCTGACTGTAAAGAAACGAGAACAGGAAACTATTTCTCAAGTTTTGGTTATTAAACTGTTAGGGAAATCAGATAAAAGGAAATTTCTTGTAGTCAAACTTGAACAGACGACCATTTCAGCAGCAGAAAACAAAAGAATGAAAACGTAATGAATCAATAGCAGCGAGAGCACTTTCATTTCTAAACATGTTACGCAGCCCTTAGTATCTCTATGGGAGAGAGGAAACCCTCCATTCAATCAGTGCAACCAATAAATGAACATCTGTATCTGTCAGGGTCCAGAGGTTCTGGCTGTATTTGGTGTGTGTGTGTGCATGTCTCCTGCCAGCTCACGTCCCACACTAATCTGAGCTGATGGTTGCCATGGTTGTGGCTCCCACCTCCTTCACAGCAGTATAAATTCAATAGAGATACAAGCTGTACAGCACCCACAGACTCGGGAGGCGAGATATCAGACCCCGACAAGATTTCAAAACAATTGTTGTGCGATCACAAAGTTAAAGCCCCATCTGGGTGGTCAAACTCTTGTGTGAAGAAAATAATTTAAGAGGTTTTTTTTAGCTTTAGATGCACTTCATTATACCATCAAACGTTTTATTTTATCAGAAAGCATTCTCCTGTCTATCCAGCAATACATCTGTCTAAAAAAATTCTAGTCTAGTCTGTAATTCCACACTGCTATACTGATGGGAATAACATTGAAACAAAGAGGGGAAAAAAAGCGTTTTTATTATAATTAATAAAAACTTTCTGGGAATTAGGGCATATTTTTCGTCTCTTTCAGCAGATGTAAAAGTTCAAACAGACATTGCAGGAGGTCTAAAGTCAATCTCTTTGTTTTATCGTGAGGTGTTCACATTATGTGTTGGCGTTACACCACAAATTAGATCTTGGGTCTTTCTGGTTTATATATGTGGGAGGTGTTTGCAATGAAAAAGGTGGTGACTGGACTGTCTTCGACTCTTCTCCCTTAACAATAACACACTGGGAAATCAATAACCGAGCAGTATGAAGCTGTTCTTGTGAAGTTTTACGCTACAGGCTAGAACAAGGCTACTTTTACTTTAAAGGGGACATATCATGCTCATTTTTAGATTCATACTTGTATTATGGGTTTCTACAAGAACATGTAACAGACTTTAATCTGCACTCCAGATACCTAAATGTATGTGCATCGCACTGAAAAAGGGAGTTTTACATATTATGTCCCCTTTAGTATGTTTTATCCTGAGTAAAAACATCATAATCATAACAACAACACACCGTACAGATAAAGTAATGTCTGCCTCAGAGACGTATTCAATATTATTTCACAGAAACACTTTGAAGTTGGAACAGAAACAGCAGCTAATTAGTAAAGAAGTGAAATTGAGCAGATCCAACAAAAAGTCTTTGGGATAGACCCACAACCAAATTAAATTATATTCCTATACTGTCAGTTTGTGATGTGGGGCAATACGAAATGGCTTTTAATGGCTAAAGTGAATCACAGTAGAGTTAGATGTCACAGTGAAGTGAATGAGGGGCTGAGCTGGCACAGCCATCCATAGAGCAGCGTTTTAAATACACCAAGACCCAACTTTTGGCTTCAGGGAGGTGATTACTGATGACAGAAAGCATCAATGCTGGCTCGGAGTCCCTGCTGCAGCTTTTCCGGTAATTGTGTGATGGAGTAAAGAGAGCTTGTTGTTTCAGGCGACAGATAGGGAAACTCAATATGGCCACGGGATGACAGAAGACTTGTCACCTTTTTAAAATCAAGTAAATACACCTCTTTCTTTTCAGCTGTTTGTGGTGGTTGTGGCCTTATGAAACCAGCAGGGTGCCTGGCACCATTAGTGGCATTCTATACCTACGTGTGTATGCAGCATGCCATTTTTAAGGCTTACGAAACTGCTAACGGGGGATTTTTTGTGCAACATTTTTCTATTACTGTGATTAATTGCATAAAATGATTTTTTTGTCAGTATGGAAAATCATCGAAAGGAGCAATTTGATCACTAAAAAGTCATCAATGTGCTGTGAAAGCCAGACAGTCACACATATTCATGCATACCTGAATTTGACAACCACACTGAAAGGCTCAGATGCACAGAAATTGATTTTTGCTCTGTTTGATAGTGCAGCTCCAGAACCAGAAGTGGTCAGAGTTGCACTGGGATAAAAAGGCTACATAGACTGGATACCATCTGAAGGGTGAAGCAATGGAAGATCAGAAGAGCAGTGCGGATGATAATGCCAGCATCGTTTTAAATAAATACAACCTCGAGAGACACTGTGTATGGGAGGGTTTAATGCCAAGACTGGATACAAAGTGGTGTTCTCTTATAAAACTCCAATTGCTATCATCAGATCTCAACAACTAATGAAATAGCCATGTGTTCTCAATGCCAAGACGGTCTCTTAAGACATTTTCTGTCTCTCTCTGCACCCCTGACTTGATCCCAAGCCAGAGAATCTGAGGCAAAGTGATCCTTGCAGCAGCAGTGTGACCATCTGCTAGCAGCATCAGTACTATGTATAGGGTCCCGGGCCTGCAGCAGGATGAGGTTCGGTGGCTGCTTTACCCAGCTTCCAAGTGTAGAGCGAGAACTTGACCCTGCCCTCTCCCAACTCGACCCCACCCCTCCTCACTACCCCTGTGGATCCTGCAGGTCCGACACTTCTCCACCCTATCAAACAAAAGAGTGTCACTCTGGTTGGAGCTTCCGTTGAATGGCCACTGGCACCATCGGATGTGTCTTCAACAGACCCTTTTATCGCTCTTATCTTGCTTTATTTTCTTCCCCTACTTCAGTAAGCCGCCATTGTCCCCAACAGACAGCGACAGGTGTATATGTTTGTGTGTGTGTGTGTGTGTGTGTGTGTGTGTGTGCAGCCCGATGCATCCACCAGCCGAAACCCGAGAGCTACAGATGGTACGGCGTGCCAAATGAACTCCCACAACTCACCCACTGCTGCCACCAATGTGAACTTGAGAAAAGGTGAATCTGTTCAATCCCTCAGTGCTGCTATTTTGACACACATGCTTTGCACATGCTCAGTGGAGATCAAAAGGCAGGCTTTGAAAAGAGAAAAAAAGGAAGGGGGGTTTGAAACTAAAAGGAATTAAGAAAATTCCAGCCTGTTTTGTCTCCTTGTTCACACTGTCTCGGTGTGTAGTCTGTCTGAATCGCTCTGACTTCTCAGGGGTCGTGTTTCTTGTAAATGTCAAGCAGGGTGCTAAGTGCAGGCTGAGCTACGTGTTTTTAGTGAAGCTTAGCTCACAGCATCAAAAGCAAAGAAGATAAGAGTGTAGATGTGTGAGAACTACAACCTGATAAGCCAGATAAAGGCTGATGTTGGTTCAAATCAGATAACCTGGTCTTAAAGTGAGATTCAAATGTTAGTTTCTGATATGAAATTCAAGAATTTCCACAGAGAACTGTGTCCCAAAACTGTGACATAAACTTGCTATTTTTGGATCACAGGCTGTGAAAATGTCACAGCTAACACAGATCTAATGAGTAGCTGTCAACCACGAGAGCCTGACCCTTCACAATGTTCAAACTTTAAAGTAGTAGTAGTGACATTTTCAAAACCTTGTAGAAAATGGGAGAATTAGTGAGACTGTGAAACAAATGATTTAAGGCAGCAGAGAACCTGACAAAATGCAGTGATGCTGAAAAATAGGACTTGAAGCCTAAACAGAAACAGAGGAGGGTTGAAAAATTTACTTTTGGGCAATTTGTCATTTTAGCTCGACAGTCGTAGCTTCTCCAGCCAAAGATCCACAGTGTTTCTGGTTCAACCACATCTCTATCTTTCAACAGAAACAGGGATGTAATGGATTTCTATTTAAAGACCTGGTAACTTTTGTTATGATGTCTGACTGGTTCAATTATTAAGATAAGATCGATAAACAAATTATCCAATTATGTCAAAACATATAACAATAAATAAACAACCCCAGCCCCCCCCCCCCAGAAAAAAACAAGGGTACTGCAAGGACTTGTACCATTCAAGTCTACCAAACCATGTGACTGCAATATTCATTTAGTGGTTCTGTAGCTCTACAGTTCCTGTCAACTTTGATGACGGTGCATATTATCTTCGAGTGACCGCCATTAGACATTGTAATACATTCTTGTAACTTTCTTGAAAAGTTTGGAGCAAATTCAAGTCTTTGTAAATTAAATAAATAGCATTTGATCCAGTTAGTCTTTCAAGAAATAACAGGGTTCAGTAAATGTAGTAAATTAATAAATGCCATGGAGACCTTATAGGTTTAAAACAATGTTGTTATAAAGTGTTAACATGTTTGGTAACACTTTATAATAACTACACACTATGAAGCATTAGTTAAGTATGAGTAAACACTTAATTCATCATTTATAAAGCATTGTTCCTATATTAACACTCATCAGTATACAATTCATAAGTTATAAATGTTTTATTCTTGATTAATAAGCTGGTCTATTATGCGTTTTCATACTTTATAAATGATGGATTCCCCATTTGTAAATTAAGTATTATATATATTACAAACCAATTAAGGAGTTGTAGGTGATTAAAAACATAATTTATAAAGTGTTAGTAAATGATTAAGAACTTATTTAGATGTACTTTATATATATATATAGATAGATATATAGATATATAGATAGATATCTAGATAGATAGATATCTAGATATCTAGAGATAGATAGATATCTAGATATCTAGAGATAGATAGATATCTAGATATCTAGATATAGATAGATATCTAGATATCTAGATATAGATAGATAGATATAGATATCTA